TCCCTGAGCAAGGCTAGGTACGTCTTCTGGCCTGTCCCTCGCTTCGTTGCCTGGAGAGCGCACTCGCCCCGGAGTGTCTCTGCGTTTTGGGTGAGTGCATTCGCCTGTGCCCTCTTGGCTGCTTAGGCGTTGTACCTGGGCCAAAGATCGGAGGCAGTTCCCAGAAAGCACCTGGCAAGGCACTGTGAGACGCCTGACATTTCAGTTGAGACGAGCCTCAGGTGAATCTGATCAAAACTTCCTGTGCCCTCCCACAGGAACACAGAACAGTCTGCAAAGTAGCCCGAATCGATACACAGAACAGTCTGCTCACCACACGTTTGTGCGGATGTCAACTTGAACCCTATTGGTCTCCCTGACCTCAGAGAGTTGTGGCGACTGGACTGGGGGGGGAATGTGGTCATGGTTTGCTCAGGTCACTTGCTTGCAGACTGCAATGACAGTACCGCCCCTTCCTTGCCCAACAAGGAAATGCATGGTGCATATACAATTAAAGTATGTTTCAAAGGCATCAGTTGGTGCCCACATCCAAATGGGCTTCGCTCATCTTCCCCCACCCCCGCCCAACTGCAGCAAAACCGAGTTTTGATGTCTGCTTCGTGAGGGTACGAGGGAGACCAAACTCCCCCTCCTCACCAAACCCTGGCTGGATGTTTCATCCGGTCGACCTCTTTACCCAAGCATGGTGGGTCTCAAAGGTCTCCGTTTCTCTCCCAAAAGACATGCCCTGCACCGTTCGGTCTCCGCATGCTCCGTCCCATGCTCAGTCTCTCATCTGGAGCACGTGAGGACCGTCGATCTCATCACCGCTCGACAGAGCGGACACGTCGACACCTGCGAGCTTCGCTGCACCGGAGGAGGACAGAAGCAGGTCCGGGGGGGAGTTCTGCAGGGTGGGAAGGTCTGCTCGGAACGCGAAGAGTCTGCCGGTGTTGTTTGGATGGATTTGGGATGTGAAACACCATCACCAGGGTCTACCCGAGATGAGCACCACCGGCTCCTCCAGTCCGGGCTAGGCCGTTTTTCACGGGCTCCTCCAGTCTGGAGAGTATTTCGGTCCCCATCGCGTGATCCAGTCAATGGTTCATCTGCTCAGTCACCTTGTCAGTGGCTGGTCACACCTTTCGAAAGACGTGCTTCATGGGCTTCATGCGGAAGCACAAGTTGTCCCAACAACCTCCCATGTAGTCAGACCACCTGGCAGTCAGACCACCTAGCATCCGGGTATCCACTCACAAAAAAAAACGAGGCCGCCTGGTCAAGGCAACGAGAACAAACTGCTCGATGGTTGCAATCCAAGATCACCTGAAACGGCTTGAAAGAGCTTGACTCCGTCAATTCCTCTGGCATTGGTCTAGAGAGGATGTGTGTGTGTGCTTTTCTTTTGTGTTTTTGGGAATCGCCTTGGAAAAGGTGTTGACATGTTGCACATGGAGTCGACCGTTTTTTCATGGCGACAGCCCCATCGCTGCGAGCTTGGGCTTCGCCAGAGGGTCGGAAACACCGAAACCATCCGAAACCGCTCGACCACCGGCGATCGACGGTTCTCGGCCGAAACCCGAGTCGCCACTGTAAAAAGCCGCATATAAACCGTCTTTCTACAGTTCCAGGCACCAATTTGACTCATGTTCACCAAAGTGGTCGAAGGCTTTGAGCTTCAGGCAGTATTGATCTCGCGTTCAAAGCATATCTTGCAAAGATGGCCTCAGGTTGCGCACCAAGCAAAGGAGGAAACCCCAAACACATGGAGGCCTGTTTTTGTCAACACCTGTGGTTCAGCGAGAGGCCCACGTGGGGTTGTTGTTGAACCCAATTTCATGGGGCTCGAACCCCGTGAGCTTCAATTGACTGTGGGTTAGAACGGATGTCCCCTTCTTGTTCCTAATCATCCCCAGTTTCCTGTTGACATTTCGAGAATCCATGAGAATCCAGTACAACACCCCCACAAAAAAAAGAACACTTCCGGTCGCTCGCTACTCGGGGCACTCACCGGTATGGCTCGGCTCGGGGCCCCGGGCGTTCTTGCTCGCTCTCCAGGCGCTTCTGAAGCTCTAAGACCTTCACCGCTGCGGACACTGAGGACCGCTACTCCCAGACCCTTCGGCAGAGCTGGGGGTCGGCCGAGTTCGGGGGGTCGGCCGAGTTAAGCGCAGCAGCACAGACTGACCAGAGGATGAAGTGGCAGTGGATGTGAAGGCAGCGAAGTCTACACAGATCATTCTTTGTCAGCTTTGGACTCCATTTTGGTGAGAAATGAATTCAATGGATGTGCCATTTCGGCGACCATCGGCGACCATCGCCTACCATCGCCTACCATCGGGTTTCACGGTTCTTACAGTTAATGTTGTTTGTGTCTTTGTTCATGTATTTCTCCGGTTTGGTCCATGCCCCTTCAGATTTCCGGGATGGCAACCAATGCTTCGGCAAGCAGCGGTTCAGTGTCCAGTGCTTCGGCAAGCAGTCGGATTGCTTGGGTCGCTGGAGGCTTTCGGATTGCACGTTGCAAGGCGGGCCGTGCGCTGCCAGGTTGCCCCACCCACGACGCGGGTATCGTGCGGAAGAATATGCCTGTTGATTTCCTTGGAAGTAACATCATGTAGACTCGTGATTCATAAACCCCAGCCATTTGAATTCGAACATCCTCTTCATATTGGGGGGGGGTGTACTAATCAAGAGTCTACATCTACATTGGTCTTGTTCGCGACCCCGAACTTGTTTGGACCCATGTCACCCACCTGCAATCGCAGCCTGACAATCTCTTTGTTCTCATGAGGTCCTGACCCACGGCGAACTTCTTTCGTTGCCCGAACCGGGTGGGCGAAACGGTCCAATTCCGAACCGGGTGGGTCCCGTTCAGCCGAGCCGGAAATGGGATCTGTCGGGTCGTTCGGAAGCCGGAGAAATGACATGGTGGAAACCAATGAGAAAAACCAGTCCTCAAAGACCATGGTCTTGGCTCGCAGTGTTTTACATTGGCTTTGATCGAACTGATTCTGAGTGATGGAATCATGACCACAAGCCAAACCCTCTGAAGTTCCTTTGTGTCCCATGACCCAATCCGAGGATTCTCGTCTCTTCAGCAGACACAATGGGCACCGGTGCTCAAGATCCGGACCCAAACCATGGGTCAAACATGGTCAAACTCATTGACATCACTTCCTCTCCAAATGCATCTGCCAAAAACCAACACCTTGATCTGACCTGTTCCCACCCCCCCCCCTCCGAAAAAATTAAAAAAAAGAAACGGCCCCCACGTCACAGTCACGCACACACCCCACTCCACACTCCACTCCGACTCATGCGATTCATACATGCGATTCATAGACCTCCCCCCCCACTCCACTCCCTGGTCGGTCAAGTGACCGAATTCATAGGACCCGTCACCATCGAACGTTCCCAGTTCCCTGCCCCCACACCTCTGCTGGTCGGTCCGGCTCAGTGACGGTCCTTCGACCTCGCCGATCTCCGGCTCCGCGGCCGCCTCGGTGGCGTCGCCCTCGCCGGTGCCCAGGGCCAGGCGGCGCCTGGCGGGGAGGGGGGGTGACGGAGGGGGGTAGATCTCTGGAGGTGGGATGGGTGGAGTTGCTGGATGTGAAGGGGTGGGGTTGGGAGGTGCACATCTCCCTTTTGGAAATAGATGGATGTTTTGAGGTCTTTTTTGTTGAAGGATGTGATCCACCTTCGCTTCTCGTCACGAGGTAGCTGCTCTGGAACAGCCTGAGGCTGCAGCAAAATCAGCAAGAAAATGACACATCAAACGTGGCCACAAACGAATTGAACTTCAGTGCTCACACTGGTTGTTGAAGGCAGTATGTACCAGGCACCCTTGGAAGTGCACTTACTCAGAAATGAAAGAACTTTTACTCTAAGGAGTAATCCCAATCCCTCTGGCTGCACGAACGTTGCTGTTGCAGTGTCGTTTTTGAATGGATCTGCTCGCCCGCGACTGCTCCCCTGAGGCCAACACGATCTTGTACATGTCGTTGCGGCGCGTCCCATCAAACTGGGCCGAGTGACGCAGCGCTGACGACGCAGCAAACTGACGACGCTCTCTCTTCGGTGCAGCGAGCACCGCGCTGCACACCGAGACGGTCTTCTGAGATCGTCACCCCACCGAGAATGTACATGCAGCTGCCATACCTTACTTCAAACTTAAAAGCACCGGCACATGGCCGTTTCAACTCAAGGGCTGTGCATGCAAGGGCTGCCCTGCAAGGGCTAGGGCTGCTCAGCAGATGCCAAATGCTCAGGCCACCACATGCAAGCTCGATGAAATGTTCGGGCAGATGGCGGATCCCCCGTCTCAGCAAGCTCAACAAATCTACGGTGTGGCAGTTAAAAAGCAAGCTCAACAAATCTACGGTGTGGCATTAAAAAACTAACTCTGAAGTTTCACGCCACGCCCAAGCAGAATGCAAACGTGATTGAAACTGCTTGAGTTGGGGGTCAGAAACGGATGCGGAAGCCGTGTGTGGGAAGGTGAGGTCGATTGAAACGTCGAAAACACTCGATGAGTCATTGCATGCTGCAATGTTCACGTTCCAATCAACTCTTCATGGAAAGATTCCCATGCCCACGTCAAGGTTCTAAGAACTACCTGTTCGGAAAGATTTCTATGTTAAAACTGCCACACGATGGGCATCGAAACAGCTTCTTCCATGGTGCACTGTCTTTCATGAACCAGAAACACCTTCAGAACTTGTCACATTCATGGCGCAGCCCCTTAGCCGGCCACCGTTTTAACTCGAGACCATGACCTCAGCAAAGCTACTCGTAGCTTGGCATGACATGGTATGAGGATGGTTCGTTGCCGATGGTTCGTTGGCACGGCGCTGTTGGTAACATGCCAAAACGCCGCATCTGGTAGCGGTATCGAATATGACAGGCTGCAAGGTGTCCTTTACTATCCTTTCCAAAATAAATCGCCCTGACATCAGTCTGAAACCCCTCGAGCCTTTTGTGTTGTTGGGAAGCCAACCCAATCCCACCCCAGAAAATCTTCAAATCCATCTCTTTGGGTGGGTGCCACAGCTGCTTCCCTCCCTTCTAACATCTTCTAACCATCTCCACACGTCAACAGGCCTGTTGTCAAAGCTGAACTCACAGAGATCAGCAAAACGGGCCTCACCGAGGCTGGCGACACGGTGTTCGAGCCCCACCGATGGTGGAGCTCGAACCCGTTGAATTCAACCCAAACGGTCGGTCGGCAGAGAGTTAGCTTTGGCCGAATCGGTGGATTCTGCCCCGTCTCAGAGTTACAAAGAGTCTCTGAACACCACTGAATTGTGGCTCGTTTCACTGTGCTGCGTGGACAATGACTCAGTCTTGATGTTATGTCCATCCAGCTGGTTCTATCTTGTTCACCCAAGAGTTGGGCCACAGCGTCACACCTGTACGCCCTCGTTGCCCGCCTGTCTCTTGTCAACCCCGCCGAAGACAAACATCGCACAGCCATGCACCACCGCACTATGCCGATATCTGGACCTGAGCGGCATCGGAGCGGAAAACCGGAGCTTTCGTCAGCGCGCCAGCGTCACGCCGAGTCTGTTTGGTCTGGACCGATCCTGTTTGGCTTCCCGAACTCCACAGGTCGGTCCATGCGACCATCCCCGTCAGGTCCGGCACGTTCCGAATAAAGACTCCCGGAGTCGTCAAGTTCTAAGCTCTTGGAAAGGAACCATGAGCTTTCTCAGCTTGGATCCAACTGGCCGTAGATCAGTTCCTGTACTCAACAACTGTGTAACCCTTGATCACATGCTCATCTCACATCGCTATCACCTGGCTTGGTCACTTGGGCTCCCACGGCGGTACATCTCCCCGCCCAGGTACGTTGTACCTCGGTCGAAGGTTTCCGGACGTGAGATAGACCAGTGTCCAAGGGAGACGGCTCATCAGTGTTTGGCTACATGAACCTGGCAAAGGTTCATTTGGTTCTCTTGAGAAATGCACATGTTTCAGCCAAACATACATCATGGACCGGCAACTTGCCAAGTGTGCATCTTGCTGCTCAACCAAACGCAACCCTCTCGCGCGCACCACTGGCTGGTAGTGATCGAGAATTCGTAGAGGTCATCCAAGGTATCATGCCCATCCCATCCTCCGAAGACAAACCTGCCAGGCATCATGGCTTTCGTTCAAACGGTGGTGCCTCCAGGCACCAAGGGTGAAGGCTTGGTAGTTCTCCATTCACTTCAACACGTAGTCCGGGTCTCAAAAGCCTACACCTCGGACTCTTTTCGGTTTGGAATGTCTCAATGTCTCACCTCGCAGCCGATGACCGCCCGGATCCGATCCGCCGTCAGAACAGATGGAGCTGCGTGTTTTGGACCCAACCAAGTCGGTCGCGCAAACGCAGATGCTTTTGGCACCCAGAGGCTTTCCATGTCTTGATCGGCTTGTTTTGACATGGAAAATCCATGGAAAAAGTGTCATGAAACTTGGCAAAGAATGCGAGGTGGGCCCTGCAACCCTTTGGGAAAGACCGGTTTTTGGATGACAGTCTTGCAATGTGCCTTCGCATCCGTCCGAAATCAAGACCACGTGGTCAAGATTCCTTGTTCCAATCGATTAGTGTATACGAGTACCTTCAGATTTTGGAGATCTTTGGGAGGCACAGGACATTTCAGCTCCAAGACACCCCTAAAACCGCAGAAAACCGGCCCGGCGCGCGGCGCGGATGAGCAATGGCCAGGCCAGGCGGACATACTGGACTGGTACACGACCGCGGAGTGCCCAAAACGGCCCACCGGGACGTTGTCCGTCTCAGGCACCTCGGGATCGGTGGTCAGGGGGTCGATGCGAAGGTCGCCGTGGAATGGGAGGAGGAGGAGGACCGGAGGAAACCCCAGAAACGAAGGGAGAGGAGCCTCCTCTTTTTCGCCCCTGGCGTTCAGAATTGAAGTCATCTGCAGTCATCTGGAGTCATCTGGAGTCTGGAGCTTGAAATTGAAACACTGCCCCTGGCACCTGCATCCACTCTCTGTCCTCGGTGTTGAACTGATGCAGGTCCTGGAGATGCAGCCCCTGGGCCCTAGTGGGATCTAGTCGGCCCTAGTCCCTTGAAACCCCTACTGCAGTGTGCTCAGGAAGATCACAAAACCTTCCAAAACACATCGCTTTCAAGGCTTAGAGATGCTGAGAGATGCTGAGATCTCCGTTTCGAACCCGCCATCGGCCTGTCGGCCCATCGGCCTGTCCTGGAATCGGGTTCGGCCATCGAAGCCTCCGAAGATATAGAGACTGGCCTGCATCGATTCTGCGAGCAAATGGATACACAATACACGATGCCCCTCTTTGTGGGTTCCAGTTCATGTCCAGTTCCAGTTCCGATCCCAGTACGCTTCAAGAGGTCAATGACGTACATACCTCTTTTTGTTCCGCGATACACATGTGATCTTTTCCAGGGGCTAGTTCTAGTTCCAAAACCCTCCAACGGGCTGCTGAATATGTGTTGCAGGCTACCCCAAGCGTTTGTTTTGCAGCATGAAATGCCATGGCTGGGTTGTTCAGACCAGGTGAACATCACGAGGCCCTTCGCTTCATCTGCGTTACCAGTGGAGCCATGTCATGGTGCTACAAGGTACTATGACCCGCAGCCCGCCCTCGTTAAAACGCCTCCCCTCCCGGCCTCATAGACCACGCACGAGTGATCTGTTCGTACTGATGGCTTGGTGGGTGAATCGATGCCTCAGCCGTGCCGTGCCGATGGCGACTCGCTCGGACCTGTGGCGGTGGATGAGGTTCGCTCGGACCTGTGGCGGTTCTGAGGTTCGCTCGCGTCCAATGGGCTTCTGGAATATTGAATTCAAAGAGGTCGTTGAAGTAGTCCCCATCCTGAGCAATGCTGAAGTAGGCTGTTTTCGGCTGTGGCGACCTGGATTTCGGATGGAGTGTCTCTGAGTCTCGGAGGGTTTGCCTGGCCTTCTTGGTGTAGCCACCGAAGAAAAAGATGCTATTTCTGCAGACCACCGCCTGCAGACGGGGCGGAAGTATACTCTGCAACGAGAGGTTGGGCGTCCGGGGCGCCACCCAATGAAAAGAGCATGTTCATGGAGCCAGTCGCGCATCAAACACGGAGCCAGTCATGGACCTTGACTTCAGATGCGGAGGCTCTTGGATCGAACAGGAACCAACTGCCTTTTACATCGAAGAAAGGACGTCGGTCCTCGCAGATCTCGGATCAACTCCTCTGCTCCCCCAGCCCAACCCGATGGCGGCCCTCCTTCGAGCCGGACCGTGCCGATGGCGGCCCGCCCGTGACCGGGTCGATGCACGCCCAGGTCCTGGCGCGCGGCACGCGGCACGCGGCTGGTGTGGGGTGGGGTCGGGTGTGGCGAACCTGGAAGAATGCAAGACACCCCTGGAAGAGAAGGGCGACAGAAAGCTTGGAAATGGCGACATCCTTTAAAAGGAGGTCATTAATGGTGGTCGACCCACCATTCTGAATGACCTCGTCCTTCAAAAGGAGGTCATTAATGGTGGTCAACTACCCAGCAGTTTTAGAAGACATGTGGAACAAGGGTTTTCAAGGGGTGGGGGGGTTTGCAAGGTCGACTTGATCCTGGCAGCCGGGGGATTCATCGGACTCTGATCATTCGGATGACTGTCTTTCCATTACACTCCTTGAAATGATCATGGAAGTAGATGGCATGGTCTACTGAAGAGGATGGTTCCCCTTTTCCGAATACCAAACAGGCGGACAACCTCCACGAAGACCATGATGATCGTTTCAGGGAGTGGAAGAGGTATTGTCTTGCCTACAGTAGCACTCCTTTCAGGTTCTGCTCTAGCTTACTTCGAGGATTGAACTTCCTTGAAACCTGGCCCGTTTGGTGTGAACTGTGAACTAGAGTGAGGGACTTTGGTGTGTTCAGGTCAAAAAAGGCACTGGGTATCTTGGCAAATCCAGAAAGCTCAATCCTTCTTTCGCTTGGACTCCAAGCATCTCCTAGCTTCAACCGATCACCTGTCAGACCACCTCGTCCAATTTCCCTATGAAAACCACTGCGACCACCAGACTGAGACGCTGCAGTCTTTCTGGTGCTTGGAGGACAAATTATCTTCGGGGCAAGGCGCTTGCTGCCCAAAAAGGACTTCCCGCCTCGCTGAAGTAGAACTGGTGAAAGCCACACCCGATCTCTTTCTGGGGGGATGCCACTCTTCGTCCCTCCGTCCGGCCTCCGACACGTGGTACCCCAAAAAGGGTTACCCCAAAAAGGGTTCCCGGCGGCACTGGCCCCCAGACCCACGAACGGACCGGCTTTCGGTCCGTCGGTCCGGCGAAGTCCAAAGACCATAGGACGGACAGAAGTAAGGGAAATGCCTAGACTCGGGCCACCCAGAGACCCATAGTCTTTGACTCCCAGGGTAAGAATGGTCTTCGGGTGGCCCGAGTCTAGGCATGTCCCTCACTTCTGTCCGTCCAATTATGGTCTTTGGACTTTTAGGATATATATATATATATATATAGTATAATATAATAAGTGTTGTTCAAAGAACTATCGACACTCACAGAATTTGCGCTTGGAATCAGGTCTACAAATGTCCACTTTGTGGGGAGGGAAATGCAATGATTTGTTGCTTATTTAATGAGGACAATTCAGGCCCACCTTGGAGAGCTTGGTGAGCTCGGCGAAGCACAGGCATACAAACCAAGGGCTGAACATCCTATTCTCAGTGATGGACACACATGATGTTGTGTCGATCTTGAGTTCAAGTGGGTGTCTTCACTATATACTATATTTAAAAAGCAGAAGTACTAGACGATCATCCCAAGATTGGAGGATCGCCGTGAAAAAGATTTTTACAAATGCAGTACTGGGAGATTGGACTGGACTCTACGCATGCGATCCGACGGCACGTCCGTCTTCGATTCTGCCGACCACCCGCCCGTGGCGCACTTGTTGCGAACATCGTAACGGTAGATGTCGTTCTGCCGAGCATTCTCATCAGTTCCTGCACCGGGTGCTGCGGCGGATGAAACACCATTCTGGGGCAATGTCTGACTTGCACGACTCTTAGAGGGTCATCAAACTCTCTGAAGTAGAATACTTCAGAGTCGACCTTTGCCTAGAAGGAACTGAGCCAAACGGCCAAGTTAATTACACTCCCTGAAACAGAAGTGGAACACCCAAGGAAGACCATTTCCCTCTACAAGGGGGGTCTGCTCAGCTTCCATGATTGTCTCAGGGAGGGTACTGTAAACGGTCCTTGAGGTTGCAACTCACCATCACCATCGCCTCTTTTGTTCGACAAGTGACTTCGAAAGCCCACTTGAGCTTGAGCTTAGCAGCTTGGAGCATCCATGCGGATGCCGAAAATGGCTGAGGCAGTCTTCTCCATTTAGGAGGTGCCCCAACGAATCTTGTGCCCTTGCAAGTAAGTCTCACTATTCATCTCCTGAGGCGCAAAATGTGGGTCTTTCGAGGACAGGCGCGGTTTTCCGTGCTCCTGGAGCTGGTCTTCCGGTGTCCAACGTGTCGGAAAAAGAAACGCACGACCTTGCACTGATCCGGCAAGAACAAAAATAGACAGACTATCCCTTCAGCTTTACATGGGTGGGTTTCAATGAGCTACCATCAGAAAATAGAGCTTCCAACAGCAGCGAACTCCGGATGGATCCCTTATATCCAGGCAGTTGCTATGTTGCCAGGCAGTTTCGAATGAAACTGGAGAAGTTGGTCTTTTGGTGCTGAATGTCCAAATCACCCAAAATGGACATTCAAGCCCTGGCTAGCTCAGGAGATTGCAGCTGGTTGCATGTGCTTCAATACAGCCTGTGACTTGTGACAATCCCCACCCTTGCTTCCATCACGAACCCTGACTTTCTCACCATGTGCACGCGTCAAAAATGCTTGGATCGCGTGGACGTCAATCGACGTCAACCGCTGTTCCGACCCTTCACCCGCCGTCGTGGCCCGAACGTGGCCCGAACGAGGCCGGCCAGGGCACACGAAGTCGAGAGGTGCATCGTCTCGCAGCAAAGCCCGTCTCACCTCGGAGGCGGAGGATCGGACGGTGAGAGAAGTGATGGATCGACGAGCCTCAGGACTCCAGTCATGGCGAAACTGGAGATGAAAAGCACGCGAAAGTGGAGAAAACAGATCTCATTGGGGCCTGGCTGAGGTTTCGTTTAGGTGTCACGCGCAGGCGCATCAGTACGAGGCCAAAACGTAGGCTATCCACCGCCGCAGACATGACACCTGCAATGCTATCCTGCGAGAGAGAAGGTGGCTGCTTCCAAGTCCAGAACGCCGGCCACCAACAAATCTTCTTTCCAGCAGGGTTTAGGCAGTGTGCCAACAAACATGCGATCACCGAAAGTGATCAGTTTGTACAGAGGCTCCTGTCATGTTCAAACCAAAAATGAGGGTGGTAACTCATCTTGGCACATACCATTCCCTGGACAAAGTGCAGAACAGGCCCGAAAACCGGAAAACCCCGAAACGCAGCTTGCAAGTTCTTCTCTTGTGTCCCAGTCAAAATGGGGCGCCACGAATTGTGTCTCAGAAAAAGCAGGACACTCCGCGGCGACACCACGCGGCCTCCGGAGCGTCGCCCAAACCTGGGAAAAAGAGGACGCATGGGTGAGGAAAGAGGAATGATTTCAGCTTGAAGAAGACAGTTGTAAACTTTTGCAAGTCATGTTGGCCCCTGAATTTTTGCAGGCTCGAGATCAGATTGAATTGATAGATTGATTGATTGATTGATTGGAGAATTGGCCAACAAAGGGCAGCCCTGTCTCCTCTCCCTACGTCGGATCGGTTCTTTGCGACCATCAAAAACGTATATGTTTATGTCATCAGCGTCCGTCAAGTGCTCAGAAGATGTTCTCAAATCATCCCCAGACACGACCCGTCTGGGACTGCCATAGGACTGCTGAGAAACGGCCGATCGGGGTGGTGAGTTTGGGGGGTCAATTGATTGGCAGTACGTGTAGGGGATAGAAGCTGCGTCTCAACTTAAAACCGCTAGCGAGAAGCAGCTCATGTGCCATCTCCTCTTTCTTTTTTTCATTGAGAGTTGCTGGAAGCGTCACATTGGACCCTTGTTAGGCGGATGGCCTGTGGACATTATCAGCCCTTCGCTTTGAAGGGAAGCAACGGGCACCTTCCTTCAGCAAACCGACAGCAAGAGGTGCTTTTGCCAGCAAAAAGCGTAACTGAAGTTGATCAATAACACCTGCAGTCGTGGTTGCTGAAGAAGGCTCAGCAAAACATGCTTGCCGTTGCGGAATCACCATTCGGCGTCCGGACAGGCTCATCATTTTGGGAGCCCAAAAAAGTGCCGAAAGGAAGCTGATCTGTTTGCCCCTGCCCTTTTTGCACAGCTCACTTAGGAACCGCCAGGTTTGACTTTGTCCGAGAAGGTCCTGCAAGGGAGGGCCGGGCTGTCATTTTCGGACAGGGCCCGTACAACTTTGGACAACTTCGGACAACGGCCATACGACAGGACATACAACAGGATAATTACAGCAACAGGAAAAATAGGCAAAGGAGAAAAGAGAACACATTGCTGACCCAAACGTGTGCTTACACAAATAGTGTTCGATGTTGAAATCTTTTTTATCCTAGCCTATGTCTACAGTAAACGAGTCTAAACCATCAATCTGCGTTAAAGTGACAGCAAATCCACCCTCAGTCCTTTGCTTCCGGAGGTATCTCTGTTCGCCGCGCCCTCTTTGGTCCCCGACTTGGTGCCGCTACGGCTGCCGTCGACGGGTGTGCCCCCACCAGCGCTGCCTTCCAGCTTGGTGCCAGTGCGAGATTTGGTGCCAGGATTGGATTTCGTGCCAGTGTTGGACTTGGATCCAGATTTCGACACGGATTTCACATCCTCCGGTGTCTCCTGTCAGGGCAAAACCACAAAAAGCTTCGATGTTGCAATGAACCCCATGATTTCGCGATGAAGGCCGCAGTGAAAAGCACCTACGGTATCGGTATTCAAGAGGTCTTTCTCATCAAGGTCCCTCCTCAGAGAACCAAAGGTTAAGAACACCTCTAACAGCTCACAGCACGAAGGTATGAGTCATTTGGCTGTCCTCAGCACTGCCGTCACTACCATCTGCAAGAACCATGTTCTCAAGTCACCCAGAAAAGAAAGGAGCAAGCGCTGATGGCACTAGACCAGCAGATCATCCAGCCACCTAGTCACCGTAGTCATCCAGCCAACCAACAACCCAACCACCGAAACCAGATCATCCAGCCACCTAGTCACCACTCAACCACTCAACCACCCAACCCTGTCCTGTGCTTCTTCCTTTTTCAGCTGCTCCTGCAGGATTTGATCGTCGCTTTTCAAAGGTCGCGGAGGGCCCAGAATGTCCACAAGCACTTGGACCCAGTCCATGAGCTCCTGATGGTCGAGTTTCAAGAGAATGGACACCCGTCGCCCACTGAGGGAGGTTGCGAAAAAGAAAAAAAGAACACTCACACACACACACACACACACTGACAGACACACAACACACGCGCGCGGAGTGAGCTTTGGCTGCTCATTTGAGTTTGTCACCCTCGATAGAAAGCAGGCACTGATTGATAAATACGAAACATGAAAAGAATCTGTAGTGTGCACGGTTGCTCTTTCTTGTGCCAATCATGACTCCTTCCACAGGTGTCTAGTTGCAAACCATTTTAAATGAGCTTGGAAAGTTATATTGTAATCTGAAGCCCTTGAGGGAGGAATAATTGACCTGGATCAGTTCCAAAGTGCCACACGTAAAGCCGAAAAAGAAAACTGTATATAAAGCTTAGGAGGACTCAGATAGATTGTGTCCTTGCGGAGTGGGGGATGCCAGTTTCTTGGAGCCAAAGAAGCCCAAACATGTGCCCTACTGGTACCAGCCTTGGGAAAATCACGCAAAAGTGAGGCCAAAGAGAAACCATCAAGAGCAAAAACTTGCCAACAGAGGTTGAAGAACCCTAGTTGGGCTATCCCAGTTGGGTACCCTGGTAGGGTCCAAGATCACTTAACCTCTGGTGTGACTTCTAGACATCACCAAGACTCTTTCTCTCGTTCTTTGCCGTCTTCGGTCCCTTCGCAGGCAGCCATATGCCCCATGCACTGCAAGGCCTGGCTCCGGGGTCCCCCAGCACCCGGGGAGCGAGGCCCTTTGTGACGTTCGTAGCTTCTTGTTCCTAGCAACTCAGTAGTAAGGCCAGGGTCGCCCCGTTCGAGTCGCGTCCGATCGCTCCGTTCGTAGCGATGCCAGGAGCCCCGTTCGTAGCTTCGTAGCTTCCGTCTGTACCCTATCCCCTGGTGGCGAAGCTGGGAATTGGAAGCTTCTTGGCTTCGAAAAAGTGTTGAAAAGGTCTGAACCTGTCATGAGGTCGCCACCATGTAGTGCCACACCTACAGTACGCCTCGTTCTCCGTTGAGCCCCCACCTCCCTCGCCGAGCCGCCTTGACGAGGCTCACATACCTCCCGAGGAGCTTCTCACGTGCCTTGGGACAGACCGAAGCCAAATGGCTCACAGCATTGCTGGCGGCCACCATTGTGCCATGCAGGCAGCCCTGACAGTCAGCGAGCTGAGTTCGGAAAGGAGTTCGTCAGGAGCTTCCTCCACGGACAGCTAGAGATTCCAGTTCTTACAGCATCTTACAGCTTCTAGTCGTTCCGGGAGTGAGCCCCCCCTCCTGCCTCTGCCAACATGGCATCCAAGATCACGTCTACATATGGTTCAATCACAAAGGCGTGCCTCGGGACCACACAGCAAGCTGAGCCAGATGGTGTGCGCGCGTGCTTTTTTGGTCCACCGTGCCAGCATGACCACCGTACCGTACCAACAATGCAAGAAATGGCCCAGAATGACCTTCACAGCTCACCGGTTCGCCCCGTCGACTCGGCTTCAGCCTCCCTTTGTCGTCTCGTCGACTCCTCCTCCTCTCTTTCCGGGGTTCACCGCGGTGAACCACAGCGCCTCTGGCAAATCCGCTCGAAGATTCGCATGCCCCACATGGCCGCCTGCGTCCGAAAACGTCGTCTGGGACCGTAGCGAAGGAGCCGAGCAGTGGAGACTGTGCATGTTCCGAGGAGCAGCCCCCCTGGCTGCGAAATCACAAGAAGACTGCAGGGAGACCGGAAAGAACAGACCATACACCTCGATTTAGGAGCAAAAAGGACCCCAGAATTCCGTAATGCCATTAAAGCTGTTTCATTGCCGAAAATTAACATTGCAAAGACTGTCATAAAGGTGTGATTGGTTTCAAAGGAAAAGAAAACCTCCCTCAGGACAGCCTGTCGATTCATGCCTGGGACTACCAGGTTCGCGAAAATCCATCAGTGCCCCCACCAACTCTTGGAGTTCACTGAAAGTGTTCGGCCAGAATCTCTTTCCGCCAGAAATAGAGAAAGAACACTCTGATTGGTTGCCTGTCTGAGGTCCAGGGCCCACATCAATGCACTTCAGCTCTCCCCATCTAACAATCTCATCCTCACCCAATCCACCTGGGCGCTCCATGCCCCGGCCACCGGCGGCGCCTCAGAACTGTCTTCCCTCAACGCCCGCGCCACGGCAGAGGCCGCCAAGCCCGGAAGGACCGCGCTGTCGCCGCGGTGCTTTGGATGACTCGGCGCCAGTTGCTCCTCCCCATGCAGCGGAGCAACTAGGGCTAGGGGGTGGGTTGTGGAATATGGTTGGGTTGTGGGGTGCTGCATTGAGAACTTGAGTCCCGCAGGAGTTTACAGGGAAAATGATTTTGTTCGACGCAAAGAGGTGACTATTCCAGCTGCCTCCTTCTTGACTCCTCTTGAAAAGGTGCCTGGTTGCACCCCAATTGGTTTTCCCCAACTGCGAGGTTTGACAACTCTCAGATCCACTTGGCCACTTGAAGTCTTAAGCACTGTGGCTCAAAACCTTCCGGCGCGCCTTCCTGGTGTGCCTGTGCACCTCCCTTTGGTGGGGTTTGGGTTGTCTGCACCTCCCCACAGTTGCTTGCCTCATCCGCTCAACCACGAACCGTTCTTCAAGAGCTTGTCTCGTGGCTGGTCAAAACTGTTTCTTACTTGCTGTTGATTGCTGCATGGTCTAAGACCTATGGTCGCAAGGGGGTTGTGTCAAATTCGTTGCAGCGATGTCAACTCAAGATTCATGAGTCTATTTGGCATTTGCTTGGAGTGTCAAGGATGCATGCTCTTCATGTGACAAGGGCTACTACTTCTTCATTGCTTAGTGCGATTGACGGTGTCTCTTTGTGCCTTTTCGGAAGTGGTGCTTGGACGACTAGGTGTGCCCGGGTTGTTTTCTACGGACCATGTCCAAAACCTTTTGGGCCATCTTTTCTCTGCATTGGTTTCTCCAGTCTCGCTTTGGAATACAAGCCGGACGTCGTTTTTTTCACAAAACGTGTGCTCCCAATGTGGGCTGTTCGTCGCCCTTGGTCACCGGAACCTGGGTCAATGGTTGCATGGCGGTTTTCTCTCGACGAAAGAAGCACCAACGACTATAGAGAGACGCGTCGCGTGGTATGCCACTGACCCAATGCGTACGAGCCATTCCTTGGGCACAGGTGTGCGGCCGATCTTGTTAACCCTGCTAAGTTTTGGCGCCTGGTGATTGGTCACTGTTTTGCTAGATGTCTGCTATCTGTCTACCTATCTATCACTGTATCTGCTACCTATCTACTGTGTATACATATACAGTTCTACCGTTCAAACCCCTTGATTCAAAAGGATTGATCAACTGATCCGGTATAGATTTACCTCCTTCGTTCTTTCTCGGATTCGCTCTTCGCTCGCGTGTCGCAGTTGGCCACTTGAAGTCTTTTCGCTAAGCAAAGCCTTTCACTAGTGCCGTGCCCAGCACAACGCACGCCAGAAGGCAAACATGCCTGGCACTGGCACGTTTGTTTTGCAACCGTGTTTTGACGTTTCTCAGATCCTGCCCTGACTCGGTGCTCAACAAGGCGTAGGCACAGAAAAGTGCATCTTGCTCGAGGGATTTTGCCTGACAGGGTCAACAAGAGCGTATCAGCCAAGGGCGCAAGGTCCAGAACAAGCTCCATAAACACTATCCAGCACCAACAAATGCTATCCACATGACTAGGCCTAGGCTTCTGGTGTTCAGTGTTCTGTTCCCTAAAGATCGTCGGCCACACCGCTAGACACCCTGGGATCCCCAAGGGATCTGAGTGGATCTGAGCCTCCCGGACGAACCAGAAATTGGGCCGACTCACTACGCCACTCTGAGGAAAACATCTCTCCGACCTTGAGTCTCCACTTCCACCAACTTCTCGCCCCCTCCAAATCCCCTCCTGTGACAGCGAATCTGCGCCCAGCGCCCAGACCACCGACTGCGCCGCGCCCGCATCCACCGCCCGCTGCGCGAAGCGCTCGTCCGCCGCGCCCACGGTGCCCAGCGCAGCCAAGCCCCAGCGCTGGACGCCCGGGTCGGTCTCGAAGCGGAGCAGCGTGGCGATGACCTGCGCCGGACACGTGCAGTCTGCGGACCTGGAAGGAAAAACGGTTTGGCGGTCGAGGACCTCGCTACCTTGTGTGGCTTCCGTTTTGTACGTGAACGAGTTGAAATCACTCCCAAAAACTCACATGGACCCTGGTCGAATGGCACCCTAAAAGACAGTGTTCCTTTACAAACCAGTGACTTTCAAGGTTCATGTTAGTTTTCAGACGGGTATATATAACATGTAGAGTTATATAGTGTTTGTTATATATATAATATATATTATACATATGGAGTATATATATTATATATTAGACACCTCTACACCATGCGGGCAAAGGACGACATCCACAATTCCACCCTCGTGGCATCCTTCCGGAAAGGCGTCCATCACTGCCGAGGCGGGCTGAGCTGCACAAAGGCTCCGAAGGAACATGAGGATCCGCTCGATGCAACTGGATTTGGTGCTCCTGCTCAGCGCCTCGCAGATACAGTCCTTGAGGCGGCGCGTTGCGAATTTCATCTCATCGAGCTGCGTTCACTCGATGTAGGCGGTCGATTTGGGACTTGTGAAGAAATGGAAAGGATCGAACGTAACAGGTGTCAAGACCTCTAGGTTCCACATCCGGGATTCATACCAAGGGGTTCTTATGAGATTTCTATGGTGGGGTTCCCCGATCCCTCCTCATCCAAGGCCGGAAAAGGGCCTTTTTGCCCCAGCCAACCCCCCACCTCCTGAGGTCCGTCCTTGTTCTGCTGAATCAGCTCCAGAACTTGCAACTTGGAGGCATTGCATCGGAAGGTCACGTACAGCAACGCTTCCGCCGCCGCCTCTGTGAGCTCCTGCTCGGAGGGTCCGCTCTGCCCCAAGAAGCCCAGCAGTTGCAAGACCAGCTCCTGCAGCGTGCGCGCGCGACGAGGCGGCGAGCAAACGGGACACAACGGGACACCCTGCCAACAAAAAGAAAAGATCCGAAAACTGGTGTTGCCTATCTTCCAAAACCAGGGTTAACCGATCTATCTTCCATCTAAAACCAGGTGTTGCCTGAAGATTTAAGAAAAAGATCAGATAAAGATCCGCAAAACACCCGGCGCCTCATGTTCCTTCACGTCCAAGGCATGATGTGCCGCCACCTGGGAGGTCATCCTGCAGCCCGCACGGGCCGCTTGCGCGTGCTCATGATCATGCTCGCTCTCCAGGCTCCGGAAGGCTGAGAAGATGAGCCGCTGGATCTGCGGCCAACGGGCTCTGGAGCATTCCTCTCGACATGTCGCACATTGCGAGGCACAACTGGCCAGAAAGGATAGAATCGCAGCCAAAACCTGAGACGAAGAAGCGAGGGGTTCACCCGGAGAATAGCTGGCCATCCCGGTGTGTGCCCCAAAAAGACCAGACCTGCCCAGTGTTCCAACAGAATCGGCCCAGAAACACCGGAATGCCCCAAAACGAACCCCACCCTTGTTCGATTCTGCGGGTGACGCTGGGGTGTTGCCCAATCTGCTCATAGCCATGTCCCAGCCAGTCGGGGATGGACATGGCGGGGCTCAAGGCTTCATTCATGGTATCGGCCCAACGCTCGGTAGGAGCTTCGGCTGCAAGGGCTTGCAGAAGCCAAAGCAGCTTCAAGGCCAAGTCATCTTGCCCCCTGGACCGCGGCACGTAGGATTTGGTGGGCAAAAAAGGGTCGAAAACGAACGGCGTCGGTGACCATCGTGCGTTGAGACGCTTTCGTGTGCGAACTCCGATGGACCGTTTCGCTCCAACGGGAGTTCCGACGGTGTCGATGTGGTGTCCTGGTCTCGAACGACCAAGTCGTCTCATGTCGTGTCGCCGAAGTTCGTAGAGAAAACATCTAGCCTTCTCACTGCCATTTGGGTGGTTCTTCCAAGACCAGCAGGTCCAAGGGTTCTCAACCATGCAGTGGTTTGGTGACTGCATCGGAAGAGCTGGACATGTCTTATCACCGGTGACCATGTGAAATTCATTCTTGCCCATGCGTCAAATCCAAGGCTTGCACATACATTGACCCGCCGTGTTGCTTAAGCAGGGTGTTCATTCGCTTTGCTTCTCGTGTTGCCAGTGACCATAAACACAAAAGCCTTCAAGCCTCCTATGAAAAAGTCAGGTTGTCTTTTGTGGAGGCTTTTGGGCCAAAGAAGGATTGACAACGAAGCCACATGTATTGGGATGAATTCTCCACAAGTGTCCTTCTCCCACCGGCGAACGAAATCCCGGCTTCGCCTGGTGATCTGAGATTCCAGAATGGCCAGCAGCATCTGAGGGCCACCCTTGATTAAAATCTCTTCCGTCGCCGCGGCGCGGTGATACCTCGACGGAGACGGCGCTTCGGCCGACGGCGGAGACGACGACGACGACGACGGCGGAGGCAGATGTTTGGGACCCAGTCTGGCTCACCACGGCCACGGCAGGGGCGAGCCAGCGGCCATTTGGTCGCTTCAATCGACGTCTCAAAGCCACTTCAATCAGTATTCGACTCGATCTGGCCAGCACTGGCCAGCACTCCATCAGTTGGTTCGGAAGAAATGCCATGGAAAAAATGTGAAAGAACCATATGTAAGATTGACCGAACCATCCTACACAAACATCTCCAATTGGTTGGAATCAGCCTCCTTCTCCGGCCTCATCGTGGTGGCCCCCACGAACTCCGTCAGCTCCCAGAGCAGGTGTCGTGACAGTTGAGGTGTACTGGGTGGCGAAGGACCCCAGAAGAGCGCCAGGTGACATGGCAAGTCCTCTAGGCCTGGTGAACACGACTCACCAAGAGTGCCTAGGGCCTATAGTGACGCGTGCCTAGTGGGTCACGTGAACACCGAAAACGGACCGCACCAAAAGAGGGGGTGGAAGTCACAAAAGAAACCTGTTGGCCGAGTGGAAGAGTGGTGCAGCCTGCGGGGTGGAAGAGTGGTGTGGTGCTTTCCAAGAGTTCGGTTTGAGTCGAGTTCACAGCTGACGCACGCACGCTCCATTGCACGGGCTGGACTCGAACGGTCCTCGGAAACCGCGTGGGAAACCACGTGGGAAACCAATGGATGCGCAAGCTGTGCAAACTGTGCAAGCATCTAGAAGCGTTTCTTCCCAAAAAACCTCCACTCTCTCCCTGCGCTGGTCCGACACCCACCTGCTTCAGGCGGAGGACTCAAGAAGGCTAAGACCCCCTTGGGCACTTCGGGCATATACCCCGCCAGCCACCGCGCGAGCGGTGGACCGCTGGTGGAGCCGGGCATCGCTTCCCCGAGCCACGCGGCCACCGGCCGCAAGCGCCGGGCAGGGCGCATCCACATCCGCGCGGTGCCCGGAGCATCGGACACCACGAGGCGAGCACCTGGGTGGGGAGCATCCGACGGGTGAGGTGTCCCAGCCTGCCGGGTGGGGAGGTGAGCGAAAGGGACCCAAAGTGGAAGAAAGGAGTCGAAAGGGAAGGGGTTTGGATTCAGATCTCTTGGAACAGGCTTCTCTTCGCACCAATCCACCGAAACCCTCCGGAACCAGACCTTCATCAACCTCCAGTTTCAGACCCACCAAAGCAAAAGCAGCAGCTGATTGGGTGTTGCCACCGTGACCGGACGTCCGGATTCGGTGGCGGACCCGCAGCCGGCCTGGCACGCCATCATCGGGGCCACAAGGTGGGAGAATGAGGTCCGGATCCAAGATACAAACCTGGCAATGGAGCGAATGGAGGCAAGTGGAGGCAACTGCAGGCAAGTGGAGGCAAGTGGAGGCATGGAAGCAGAGTCCGACCAAAAAATTACACACACTCACGGAGCTTCACATCCAAAATGTCCCCAAATTCAGTATGAGTCAACCATTCCTCAGTGATCAAACTCCCGGACTCGGTGCTTCGAAGTCCAAAAGCCAGCAAAAAAGAACAACCAACCACCCAAAATTAAGCCAGCCCCAACAAAAATCATACCAGCATAGACCCCAAACAGCTTAGTCGGCAAGAATTGTTGTTGGCCGCAGCCCCAGTTCCTGTCTTGGACAGCGACGTAAACCGCAGGACAACAGAAAGACCAAAGGAGGAGATGGAGGACAACAAAGGACAAACGGATGAGAGAAGGAAAACAATATGAACACACCAAGAAGCGGACAACGCCAAAAGGACAACAGGACCACATGAGGGGAGCACTCCAAGAGGAGAAACGGTGAACAAGAGGAGAAGATGGAGAGGGCAAGAGAAACACAACAAAATGATGGGAGTACAGCCGGAGAATGCTGGCAGCCACAGCCAGTGAAAACCTGAAGAAGGACAACAAGAGGGCAATAGAAGAACATGAAGAGGACAGGACCGAAAAGATTGACATGAGGAGATGAGGAGGACATCTGGACAGGGCTCGCCGGCGCGGCCTGACACTGTGGCCAATGCAAGAAAAGGACAACAGGAGGACAACGAGAAGACATCAGCTTCTGAGGGTGCTTTCTGGAGTTGTCTTTCAAGAGGAGGACAAGAGAAGGACAAGCTCCGGATCCAGTGTTCAGGGGCGCGGCCAAGGAGGACAAGAGAAGGACAAGACGAGGACACGAGAAGGACAAGAGGAGGACAAGAGAAGGACAAGAGAAGCAGAGGAGTCAAGGGCAGTGACAAGAAAAGGACAAGAGGAGGACAGGAGGACAAGAGAAGGACAAGAGAAGGACAAGAGAAGGACAAGAGGAGGACAGACGAGAGAAGCACAAGCTCCGGACACAGCGTTCAGGGGCGCAGCCAGAGGAGGACAAGAGAAGGACCAGGGAGGACAAGAGGAGGGCAAGACCCGGACACGGAGTTCAGGGGCGCGGCCAGCCTGTGGCCAGCGCGTTTATTTTCCTACGATATAGTAAGAGAGAACCCCAACAGTACACTGTTTGGGACAAAAGGGAAAAGACTCTCCCGAGCTTTTGACGGATATCCGTTCTCCTGGTGCCTTCGAATATCCCTCGTGGTTGGTCCAGGTGAGTGCCCATTGCCCCGTCTCCAGGGCAAAGCCGAAGTAGTAGATCAAGGCGTCGCGGTGTCGGGTCACTGGATTTAAGGTGTCGCTCCAAAAGCTTTGAATCTCCTGCACCGGGTCACCTGAGGGTTCTGCGGTTGACGGAGCGGTGAAGGACTTGCATTGAATGAACGGGGCTGGAAAGTCCAGTGACCGAGGTTATCTCGTGTGCCCCAAGGAGATAGAGACCAAATGCGTTATTGTATATCGTCAGTCTGTATATGTTGTACCCTCCATTCTGTTTGGGGGTCACTACTAATTGCGGGATCCTTGAAGAATTGGGGCAATGTCAAAGAATGGTTATTTCGTTCGCTTCTCCAGACATGCCAAGTCACGGTGTGACTCCAAGCCATCCTGGCAATCCAGGTGGAGGATGGACTCCGCCGGAACGCCCACTTGCATCAAAGCCGAGGAGATGATCTCGACGCCTGGAGGGATGGAAGCATGTCTCAAGAAGAGCCAATGCGGCCAATGGGTTCCGCCTCCTGTGTCTTTGAGGGTCCTTTGCTTCACAAAAACAGCACCTGGATGAGCTCTTTTTTTGGAGCTATGAAATCTGGAAACCCATTGGCAATGAGGAGGCATCAACTTCTTCAAACCCCACCACTCCTCGCGAGGTTCGAAGCTGAACAAATCTCTCCAAACATCTGAATTTCAGGTCCCTGCCTAGGAGCGACTGCTCCCGGTATCTCTTCCGGCTGCGGACACTGTACTTGGAGCCTGGGAGCAGCAACTTGGGCCCATCTTCGAAAGGCCCTCCAGGTTGCCACGCAGCTCCGTCGCCTCAGGATGGCTGTGGCCCGGAAACTGCGCTCTGTGGCTATGTGGCATCGTCAAGTGGAAGGAGCAAGAGAAGCGTGTGCCCATGTGGCGATGTGGAGCAGCATCTGTGCATTTGATGGACCTCTTCCTCCCAAGCATTGGAGGTGGTCTTTTTCACTGGGACCCTCCAAGGATGAACGAAAGAACTAGCACCCAGCTGGTGTGTGTAGAACTTTCGAGCCACACCAAAGCGTCAGGAAGGACAAGATGCATCATGTAGAGTAGGCAGCATGGGGGGGAGGAAAGTTGGGGTCATTCCAAGTTCAGAATCTTTCGAGTGGCTAAGACTGCAAACCACTGTCTCTTGCAGTGAAAATAGCTGTTGGTCGATGTTCCCTGTGGGTCGTTGCCTTCGATGTCGAAGACAGAAGCTATCAGGCGACTTCAGGCGATCCACTAAGGTCTGTGTCCGAAAACGTGTCTTCTGATCAAAAGACCTGTCGCCTATCCCTTTCAAGTTCTCTTCAGGTCTGTTTCTCGAGGTCCCGCTCTGTGAAACCTCGCGTCTTTCCCCCCTTGAGACCTCCTCTCCAAAGGGCACTCGGAGGTGACCAGCAACGCCGCGCCGAAGCGGTCCAGATCGATGATCTGCTCAATGGGACTCACCAGGGCTTGCCATGAACTCTTAACCGTCGATGAGAGATCAAACCGCGTTGGGGTGACTCGAGCATTGCCGGGACTGTCCCACATCGAAGGACGGACGAGCCTTCAGAACAGCTGCAGATCCATGAAGTGAGGGGAAAATCCATGCGATCTATCTACTAGTCCCTCTGCCTTTGAAAGCATGTCACGCAACTGTTCCTTTCTGCTTTTCCACTTCTGAGTTGCCAACGAACACACGAGGTGCCTGCTTCTGCATCAGCCTGCCATCAATCGTGTGGTTTCCTGAGCACCTTCAGTCATGATTTCTGGCAGTTGCAGCCCGTTCAGATCATGCAATGATCTGCCGAAGGCTCGCAGACTTGAGGATAGCTGTGTCTTTGGAGAGTGCTTGAATGGATAAATTGCAGGCGAAAGCTTGTGAACAAAGCTACAAGAATGTTTTGAAATCAGCCCATTTCAGCCCGGTGCCATGTTTGGTTTCTTGCTTTGTCCACTGGGCAGTACCTCTCCCAGCCTTTGACCAGTGGGTTTCGCAACGAGATCGTCCCATGACAGCCCAGCCCACATGGGAGGAACGGCCGCCTCGGCGGTGGCAAACGTATCTGGCCTGGCAAACACGACTGGACACCAGTCGCGAAGGTTTTGAAGGAAAAGTGAAAAGCACTCTTTTGTTGAGGGGATGCTTGGCAACCTCGGCAAGCTCACCCACAAGCGTTGTGCCTTTGCCGGATATTATGAAACATGTATATAAGCGATTTCAATGTGCCATGTGAGCATCGCCCATGGCAATAGGTCGGCACAGTACATGTGCCCACATATGTGCAAGCATGACAACGCTGCAACAAGAAAGAACCACGGAACCGACTTAAGCATCTCATCGTGACAAAGCGGCGGCATGTTAGCGTGACCCATGTGTCAGCATGCCAGTGTAGCAAGGTGAAGACTCACAACATGTCAGCTGACGCCATGCCAGCATATCAGCGTGACATGTTGGCGTGCCTAGCACGTCCGCAAGATATATGTATATATACATATACACCAACATGGCAGCATGTCAGCATATCGGCGTGACAACACCGCAGCATGTCAGCATGACAACAGGCTAGCATGGCGGCACAAGCCGTGCATCAGCATGACAATGCTTGCTAGTTTGCAAACATGATGTCATAATGAGAGCATGATAATATGCCAGCATATGCCAGCATGATGGCGTGCCAGCATTAGGCCACGCTGTCAGCAAAAAAAGCAGGTTAGGTTAGCAGCATCTGCCAAGTGCCGCTCTGGAACATGGCTCCGCAACCTGCTCCGCAACATGATCCGAGACCTGCTCCGAAGTCTTTACTATGGCTGAAGACCGTGGCCCCCCCCTATGCCCCGCTCTGCTGACCCAAGGCTCAAGCTCTGCCCCGCCTGCAAGGGGAGTTGTCACCCACCTGGAAGCTCACATCCCCATGCTTCTGCCACCGAAGCGACTGCTCGGAGCCTCGCCGCGTCCCACGCGTCCCGCATGTCCCGCTTCTTCGTCTGTCACCAAATCATGGCTCCCGACGACTCGCAAACCCCAGAGCCATGTGGTGGATTCCAGTTGAGACGATCATTCCTCTTGCAGAAGGGAACATCTCAGAATGCCGCTGAGGGGGAAGTGTGAGAAATCCAAAAATGGAGTCCAGCTTGGGATTGGTTGATGACGGTGCAAGAAGGGTGGCATGATCCGCTTCTCGCCCTGGGGCGCCCTCCAAAGGCACCTCCGATGCCCATGGCGGGTTGATCAGTCTCCAGTTCTCCACAAAGACGATCCATGCCTCCGGATGTTCAGTTCACCAGTTGAACCCCAATCCGGGGCAGCTAGGCAGGCAGGCAGGAAGGCAAGAAGCCAAGCAAACAAACAAAGCCTGGCGAACTTGCTTCCCGAAGGAATCTGTGCCAAAGGACGAAAGAAGTACAGTACAGAACACTCCACTAGCAAGCTCATCCGATCTACCCCAATCCGGGGCAGGGCCATTGGATGAAAACACTCGCCGAAACGGGGAGGCGAAAAGGTCCGTTTTCCCTCGTCCATTCCCGTCGGACTTCGGTCCTTTGGCTAGCCATGTAGCCTACTGGCCAGACCAATGGCTTCAGAAGTGCCCAATGGCAGTGCTTTGACTTCGAATCCTTGCTTGGCCTTGCAGCAGCTTGTCAATCGATGTCTCCGCTGAGCAAATCAGCCTGCACCTGACAAGGCAGGAACACTTGCTGCTTGATGTTGGAGGAATGAACGACTTTGCTTCACATCCCATCGCTGCTGGGGGGTTGGCTTCTCAGTTTTTCCGCAGCTGTTCACTTCACCCAGAAGCCCATCTCGCCCATCCCGCTGAGATGCCATGCTGATGCTCATAGAGAGCATCCACAAAGTTCGTGAACCTGCGCGCCTGGCGAAAGACCCCGCTGCGCGCATCAACAAAAGAAGGCACCTGTCACTTCATTCACATGGGAGTGGACTGACGGAACTTTGGCCAGACACCCACGGGACCCACGGGTTGCAACAAGTCTTTGGTCAGATCTTTTGGGAGTTCCACCGGTGGGGAAATCAAGGCGGAAAACCGCTCGCTTTCTGCGCGCCACTTCGTGTCGGCATGACTCAGAATACTGGCAAATATCCACAAGAAAGTAGAGCTCCCTGAATTCGCGAAAAAGCGCCTAGTAGCTTCTTGCTCCTAGTAGCGATGCCAGGAGCCCCTAGTAGCTTCTTGTTCCTAGTAGCGATGCCCTTTGCTCCTAGTAGCCCCTCTAATTCAAGGCCTCATTGTGGAGGTTGAGATTGAATTGAGGAATCTCCGAGACCACAAAGGTGTGAACGCCTGCATGGGGCGATTCAACGATTCAGAAGACGAGCTCAGGAAACAGGTCTGCCCCGGGTCTGCGCGGCGCAGTCACTTTGACTTCAAGAAAGCCTACACCCAAATAGCTTTCACTAGCTACTGCCAACTTTAGCTTCACTAGCTATGGTTCCATATTATGCTTTCATTCTCCATCAAGTAAGCAGCTGGCAACTCCACAAGTTTTTCTACGATGATTGGGGAGATGCTAAGCAAGAGCTTGGCACATCGGGCTAAAGTTGAATCTCCTTGGTGTGGTGTACTGTCTTGAACCCACACCACCTATTCACAAGAACGTCACATGCAAAGCGTGCGTCCGGGGGCAACGAACGTCACCTCCCTGAATCAGCGCCAAGTAGTCTTCGGAGCTCAAGGGCGTTCCTCAAGGACTGAGTTCGCTGGAAGCATTGAGCAGGGTCATTTCCCCAAATCAAAATGCCAGCGTAGAGGATTCACCAATTTAGTTGATCCAGCATGAGATGCACTTGTCCGCAGTGAACCAACGACTGCGAATCTTAACCCCTCGTTTGGTCTCCATGCCCAGGTTCTTGTTCCAAATCTGCTCTCTGATGAAGGCTGTCTTTCCCTGAGCATGTAACCCTCCGTTTTCAGCCCACACTCACCCTGTTGAGATCTATTGGTTGACATCTACTATCCCTCCGCTTCTTCCCTACCAAAAGTGACGACCGATCAGCTCCACATACCCTAAAGTTTAGCAGGGCGGCGGAAATCACCCCAAATAAATGCCCCTATCCATCTGTGCTGGGGAGGGAACCCAAGGTTTATGAGAAATGACCAACTGGAATTGTGTCCTTCTTAGGACCTCACAAGTGTTTCGTCCGTCCACTTCAGTCCACTTCTCCCCTAATTACGAGGCTTTTGTTTAGGGTGTTTTCGTTGATCCACAGAAACATCCATCAGCTTGGCACCTGTCTCCACCTTCACCACCTCCCTCTTTCCTCCATTTCTCCCAGGCACCACAGAGCTCCTCAAAGCCAAACCGTGCCACACCGCCCACGAGCTCCACCGGCAAAACACGGCCCCACGCAATGGCCACATGCCGCGTCTGAGCCTGAGGGCGCCACTGGACGTAAACCGGGGGCGGAGTTTGGGAGGTCACTTCCCTTTTTGGGGCAGAGGCGAGGTTACTTCTTCTAGTCTTTGCTAGTTTGACAGATTTACAGCTCCTTTCTCTGCCTGTCCATTCTTTCGTCATTGCACATGGGAGATGTATGTGAGTATAAGGAAAGAACCTGGTGATGTTTGATGATATTTGTAAAGAACCTGACCACGAATGTCCTGGACGCTCGGATTCTCCCCGCTCAGAACTCATGCGGATCACTTCCCGATGTCTTTGGTTTGTCTCAAAAAAGCCAACGGAGCCGCTAGAGAAACCAAGAGGTTGGAATACGACGATCCACTACTAGCAAGAAGCTACCAGTAGATCTAGTAGCAAAGGGCATTACTACTAGTAGCAAGAAGCTACTAGAAGCCATGGACGGTAGAAATTGATAGAACTTGCATGGCCCAAGCTGCTCCTCCATGCGATCGGTGTTCGCACGAGTCCATGTGATCGGTGTTCTTCGTCGACGCCCCTTCCGGACCACGCCGAAACGGACCCCACCCGGGCACCAACGGCGCCTGTCTGTCCTGACAGTCCATGTACCCTCAACTGATGCAGTGACTTCTCATGGACTGTCCACCTCCACCTCCGGATCGAAACCGCGACCGCGCCCACATCCAGAAAGCGGGACCAGGTGATGCGACCAGCTGAAAGGCATGCGACCCAGGTGGTCAAACACAAACCAGCGCTGCGCTCGCGGAGCCCAGACCATCACGAGCCCAGGTGCGGGGACACCTCCACAGGCCGTTTGGAAGGCCAGATCAAGGGGGCCTGACATCGAAGCTGGCGCATCGAAGCTCCTTTCCCCGGATCTGGGGTAGTCCACCCGGCAAGGTGGGATCTGGAGCCACCACCACATGCCCAAACCATTCCAAACCCAAAAAGCAGGGCTTACAACATGGAAATCGTTGAAACCGTTGAAACCGTCGACTTCGAGGACTGAAGTTTGGCAGACCCGACATCAGACACTGTTGGGCCATGTTGGGCATCCCTTTGAGTTGGAAGTTTGGCAACAATACCTGGGAGGATTCCCTCCAAAACCAAGGGATTTGACCAGGCCTTCGATCCCTTTGAGATCCCCTTTCGATTCGCCCCACATGTGGAGACAAGAAAAAAAGCAGTGAAAGCAAGGTGGGAGTGACCGGATGGCAGTGGCGGAGTTCGTCTTTAGCAGTGGCTCATCATGATTCATGCTGTGACCGACCCGATGTTTACACCACTATACAAGCAAGACCACAGCAAAAGCCCCCAATTCTGCCGCGGGTGTCACTGACCGACCGAGCTCATGACTGGGTGGCTATCCAGTTGAAGAAGACTCACTGTTGAGACAAAGCAGCTATATAATCATGGTTAATAGTCTGACCTGTGTATAAGGGGACATAGGGGTTTCACAACCTCAAATGTGGGGGTTCGTGGGAAGGAGGCTGAGAACACGCGAGAAGTTCTCTTGGTGGAAGTTCATGCATTGATGAGCTCTCAGGGAGGATATTGTCTGCTTTACTTAGGACTTAGTCACTCTTGGTGTTGTGCTTCGCACATGTTTCACCAGAAATGCAAGAACATGTCTGCCACTTCTGTATGCGACTGGCTTTGACCCTCTTACCCACTTCTGGTTCAAAAAAGCAGATTGCTATTTAAAATACATACATAAGTGCATCCATTATCCATTCATTGTTGACCCCTTGCAAAGGCAAAGTGGATAAATGCCTTAGGGTCCTCAGGGTGCACCACGGTTTGGTCCTTACGGCGGTTGCGGCTCACAAGTTGCTTATATGGCTCAGGCTCGGGCTGACAATGTCTACCCGTCTACCCAAGTAACTGATCCACTCTCAAGATTCACATCCTCAAGCTGCTCCAAAGTTCCCCCACCAACTCAGAAACAAGAGCTCATGAGCTTGAGTTTCTCCCTTTCCCCTGGATCTCATGAGATCCGATGCGTCAGAACCCGATGCGTCAAATCGTTGGGCGCCTCCAACCTGAAAGTCCTCTGAGACGAGTCGACGCTGCGAGGCGACGAAGCGTGCCTGGAGAGTCAGGGAGTCGCCGGGAAGTCCCCAGGGAGGGCGGAGAAGGTGGAAGTCCTCATCCAACCCATCCAGAGACCATCCAGAGAGGCTCCAAGATGTTGGAAGGCTGCTTGTGAATGGAATTCTCAAGCTCATTGAAACATTGAAAGCCAGAACTTCCAAAGACTCTCCTCAGTAGTCGTAACGGACCACTACTGTACCATGAGATAAAATGTTGCATGTATATATATATGGTGTGTTCTAAAGGGTTCGATGGGCTTGAAAGGCAAATTCATTTTTCAGAAATGGAATGGAGCCTCTCGTGACACTCTTATCTATGTAAGTATACATAGTATATATATATATATCATACATCTATCTATCAAGAGAGGCCGACCAAAAAAAGAACTAAAACCCATTGCATGTTTGGAGGCATTGTATCGCATGGAACCACCTCTTTACTGGTGGATGCCATGGATTCGATGTCTGTGGCTGGCGCGTTTCTCTGCGTTTCCCCCATGGTTCCGAGACCCAGATGGAACCGGACAAACCACCGGGTCTGGTAATCGGAAAAGCGTCTTCCAGTCTGGTCCATGTTCAGATTCTAAGTCTTTGATTTGGACCATCGATTACCCCTGATCGTCTGCCTGCCGCGCCGACCCCTACTACCCCACCTCACGGTAGTCGGTGGGCCCATCCAGCTCATGCACCTGGTCAAGTCCGACCCACTGACGCTGTGGACGCTCCAAAAGGAAAAACCTGTTGAGCTTAGTCAGTTAGACCCACCAGTCACCAGTCAGTCAACTATCCACTTGTGTAAGTGTCTGTGCCAAAACGCCTTTCCAATGTGTAGATAGTGCCAACTACCCCATTTCATAAGCTTTGTAAGACTTCTTCGAAACACAACAATATGTTAGCTGTTAGCCAATAAGCCTTTCCACACAGGCCAGGGTTCCAGATTTAGTCCTCAGCAAATAAGTGTTTGTATAAAACTAACGTGAGCGTCTCAAGCAACTGGAAACCTCCCACCAATCAGAGACGTTTGCTTGGGATATCTAATCCATTTTGGTCATACCAATTGGGCAGGTGGTTCCAGCAACTATGAAAGGTATTGCAAGGGTCTTCAATTGCGAGTTCGTATTCCGAATTTAATCACACCAATAACATGCAATATACGCAACTATACAATGGTGGTCAGCACGAGCAACATCAAATGAAAATCCTGAGAATGCTTCTCTTGCCAAAAAACGCTCGTGACATATGCAGCGTCTGAATCTGTCCAAGATGACCTGGTGGGTAAAATAATGCATACTCCAATGATCACCTATGGACCCTATGTGCCCCAACTGTTGTGGGTCTTAACATGTTCTGAACCAGCCTGCCCCCAATGATGCCTCTATGAAATGCAGGGTGTTACCCACCCCATGAAACGTTTCATATCAATGGATACCCCCCTTATTTCACGCAGAAAACTCACATGTCCATGATTCGAACATCCCATGCCAGTGGCCTCCAGATTGCTGCGCAGCAAATTTTCAAAGGCTGGCAAATGAGCCTCGCGTCCAAGACCATCCAAATACAACCTCAGACCGCAGCGCTGTGCTCCCGCACAGACCAGGGTGCGAAAGTCATGTTTTCGTGGGTCCATTTCAAGATGCGTTGGCCCTTGATCTGAAAATGCCCCGGTAAAAAGGTTGGTTTGTTGTTGTCAAAGCCTGCCTGGTCCAACTCTCCCTTAAGCTCATAGCTTTTTCCTCCAAATTTCTGACTCTACTCTGAGGAGTGTGTCGCTTTCGCCCGAGCGCCCCCGGCTCTTCAGGCGGCCGATTCGAGGTTGCCACGAGGAGGGCATCGCGAGCTAAAAGCTCACCTGGCGGGCGAGTCCAAAGCGGAGTGCGGAGCGGAGTGCGGAGCGGAGTGCGGAGCGGAGTGCGGAGGTGCCTTCGATGTGTTTGCTTTTTTACGCGATTCGGCGAATAGAAAGGGGGTTGATGGTAGTACCTGGTAGGTTTTCCAGGCCCTGTTGCTAGCTCTGAACCCTTCAGCCAGAATCAAGGTGCCGTTTGGGTCTGCTGAAATACTTGATAGAAAATCAAGGGCTGGGAGAAAGTGAGAGCCAGAAGGTTTTGACCGAAAGGAAGGGGATTTGGATGTGTTCAGTTGCGTTCATTCTGGAAAGGAAGCTAAATGTGATGCATCAATTTGCCGGGCTCACTGAAGAGTGGTGTCAACAGCCTAGGAGGCCGCTGTTTACGCTGTCTTCGGCGCGAAACCGCTTCCGCTGTCAACCAAAAGGCAGTTTCTACTCGTACAACGCACTCAGCTCCCAGCGTGGCGTCTGCAATGGTGGTGATTTGAAACCTGCAGTGATCTCTCCATACATCCCAACGAAGCAATGGCGGGCCGCCTGCCACTCCTGCCCCCTGCCATGTTCTCCAAGGAAACCCTGGAAACGTCCATCATCCAATCCTCGACTTCTCGGTTTCAGGCTCATCAAAGCAAAGGACCGGAGGGCAACCCCGGACCACCTCTCAACAGACGGGCGGGACGGGTTCCCAGCTCGGGAGTGGGGTGGAACACACACCCCGCCCCACACCGCAAGGCCTGGGTCGCCTGCTATGGATTCAGTGAATACTCATTCGGGATACTAGCAGGGCTAGACCTTCTAGATCCATGTTCCAGATGAGTCACAACAGACCCACCTGAGCACCTGTGAAGAATTTTTTGGTAAACCTGCCTGGTTGATGACCGTGGCCATGCCATCGCGGGCTCCAGCTGATCTGCACTGGTGTAGACGTCTGTGAAGAGAGTGAGTAAACCTGGGGGTGCGTGTCCAGGCAGGCCGAGGCACAAGATTTAAGGTTCTTGCCACGTTTGACTATTTGCACCAAACCTGAAATGAAGTGTTTAGACGAGCTGTGCCGAAAAGCCTCTTCACACTTGCTGTGTCTAAGAAGATGTCTTGGAAGGCTCCTATCAGCTTTGATCTTGAGCTCCGTGCTCGTGGAAATGCACTCGTTGAAGGTTTGCTACCTTCAAATGGCTCTGAGCGAACGAAGGAGTGGTCCGGTCGGGAGCTAGCTACCGTATTTCTATCCAAAAATGGAGAACCACCACAGTCTACAGCGCTGCTTGGAGCCATCGACCTCGTTGTTTGTTGACGTCGTGCGATGGCGGATCCAGCCTCGACATCGCCATCGGACTCCCGCCGCAAAGACAGGGCCTCGCCAGCGACGTGTCGCGGGTCGAACGCCCCACAACTAGCTGATGGATGGGCACTGACTCAGCTGCTAAGCGATTACAACAACACCTATGGTCACCGACCTATAGGACACCAACTAGCAAGTCTTGTAGTAGGGAGGGGAAGGATGAAAATTAGGGATCATTCTCCTTGCCATGTCAGAGGTTTGCGGCCAGGTGTGTGAACCACTGTTTCAGTGGCAGGCCAAGAGGTCCATCAGCAGAGTCTTGCCACGACCAACCTCAACAAATTGAGTTGTCGGGAGGCAAAGAAGCTGTGCATTCTGCATGCTTGATTGCTAGTGTTTCCAAAATATACTGTCCATGTCCATGTCTGTCTATCCTCAAGAGCTCTTGTACTGTATGTATGTTCTGTATGTTCTCAACGGTTGCTTCCAGGCTCTCCAATCCATGACCTTTTGCTTCCGCACAACACGACGGTCTCACTGGGTCACTAACTCTCTGAAGTCACGTCACATCTCACTGAACCCCCCAGGGGGACCGGAGTCCTACTGTTCCTCCAGCCTCGCCTGTCCCCACAAGTAGCAGCCTTTCTTCTCGAGCGACGGCCTCCAGTGTCTCATCTGGAAAGCACCGCTTATGACTTGGTGGTGAACTCCTGTGGGGGGGGATTCGGCTGGCCAGAATCTTCAGGTTCAATCAAAAGGTTCGAAACACAAAAAGATGCTTGGCTTAGCTTGTAGTGTGAACACCCTTCAGATTCCTGTGCGCAGCTGCAAAAAAAAAGCCGCTCTTATCCGCTCTTCTGGCCAGCCTTGAAGGTTCTGGAGGCAGTTGCAAGACCGGTGCAGGTTCTTTAGCCTCTCGGAGGATCCCACACGACGGCATATGGCAAATCGGAGGAAGAGATAGATGGGGGCCTGGATCTTGAGGAGGGGTCAACGAAACTCAGAATGAAACAAAGAGTAGGGATTGAGTGCAGACTTCTCATGCCTCAGGTGTCAGGTATCCCTTCCCATGCCTCAGACTTCTCTTCAGTCTTCTTTCTCTGGGCTTCCATCTCTTGGTACTCTGCTTGCAAGCGGGCACATTCGGCCTGGCTGTGAACACGAGCTTCCTGACAGCCATAACCTTGGCTCTCCTCAAGCAGCCTAGAGAAGAACTCTCTTCCAAAACGCCCTTTGTGGGTTTGACCACTTCTCTCAAAACCTTCTATCCCTTCCTCAAGCGCAGCGGAACACCCCTGCTGTTCCGTCTTTGTGCGGGTCGTGACCCAAGAAAAAAAAACAGCATCCCGCGACCTGCCACTTGCGGTGAAGCTCTTGCCAATGGAGAAAGTCCTCATCCGCAACAGATGTCACTCCACATGCCAGGGTTGCCAGGGTTCAAGGAACACCCTGGGTAGCAGCGATTCTGGATGGCTGAGTTTGTGTCTGTATTACTAATATTATTATATTTATATATATATTAGATTTGTTGTAAAAATCGACCCTTTTTTTGGATTCGACTCTCCTCTCACCATTGCCGTCCTGAGTGAAGCGCTGGGCAGACTGCCACACCTGGAGGGACACCCAGCTCCAGTGAGTCCAGTCGAAGGGAAACATCCTGTTGTCCAGCTCCAGTGAGTCCAGTAAAGCCCCAAGTCTCGGCGGCTGGACTTGGGAGGTGAAAAACAAGGGGGAGAGGAGTGGTCTCGACGATGGACCGATGGACGTCTCGTCGCCCGGCACAAGCTCCATCCCGGATGGACAAATGACCATGGGCAAATCGTGAAAGTTTTGTTGGGGGGATTGGGGGGGGGTTGGGGCATCGCGGATCTCAGTTGAAAGACATGATTTTGTTGGGGGCGTAAAAAAAGGAGCCTTACACTGCACTGACTCCAAATCTGCGGGAACTGTGTCGCGGCTCGCCCCCTTTTCCGATGGCAGGCCGACCAAACCCCGCGAGTCTCTCGCGGTGACCTGATCCGCTCTCTCCGCTGCTACATCACCGTCCTCCTGAGGCGACACGCTTGGTAACTGTCGCCGCGTGTCCAGTAAGTGTCTAAAGGTCAGAGAGATGCGACAATACTCCGTGCCTCTCTTCAAGGTGCTCCCATCACGCAGGTGAACCAAGCGAGAACGTCGGATGCCGTGGCGGTAGGCATAGCGACTTTCTCCCTGAAGCACCAGCAAACTCCGAGGCTCCAAGAGGATCTTCACCCAATTCCCATGGTCCACGCCATCGCCGGGCGCCTCGCGGGAGTTCTTCACCTCCGAGGCCAACGAGAGGGTCAGCTGCACCGGCTGCAATAAGGAAAGCGTCGCCAAGTTGGGGCCGAAGGACACGGGATCTTCCACGTGCGCGGCAATGCCACCGGTGCCAATGTATCGATTAGCAGCGACTTGATTGATTTCTTGCTCACCAAAGACGCCAGTGCTCACCAGTCGACTCAAAAGCCACTGAGGCAAATCCTGCATCGGACGCCCTTCTTGAAGCTCTTTCTCGGCAGGTTGGAGCGCCACTACGTCATGTGTTGTCTGGTAATAAACCAGCCCAAAAAACTGTTGGGCTCGAATCAAGTTTTCCAGCCAGGGTTTTCCATTGACAGCTGCCAGCAATTCCTCGGCGGTCACTGCCACATATTTTGCGGCTTTGTGAGTTTGTGTTTCTCTTGGAGGGTAGTGCAACACATATAACAGTCAGAAAATAGAGTGAGCTTTCGAAACATTCACCAACTTTGCTCCTTTTCCGTCTGCCCAACTCACCCTGTCCAAGCTCTATCTCCTACGGTTCTGTCTGCCCCATCGCACCGTTTCCGTTTCCGAGGTGTTCGCCTCCTCCTCCTCTTCGGAGATGAAGCTCGCCGCGTAGCGCAGGCCACCCGGCAGCTGCGCGCCGTGCTTCGGCCCCAGCTCCACCGCCGGCGGCGACCAGACGTCCTCGGCCATGGCGCGAAGACACGCGGAGTAAGGGCGTGGCGTTGTGTCTGCCCAATCAAGGCAAAGAGGTGGTCCAAAGCATTGACCCTGAAGGTAACGGAAGATGGCAAAAGGGCTAGATGGCTGATACTCTTGATGTGGTCACTGAACTCCTCAAAAGTTGTGTATGTTGATCATTCTGGCCTGCCTTCCAAACCGTGGAACGCAACTGTTTCATCGCTTCAAACCGACTTTCTCTTTCAGTCCAGCTCAATCAACAACCTTTCATCTGAAGCTCAAAGGGCTGCGATGTTCGAATTCATCAAGTGCCCGTTCGAATTCTGTGGCACCGGCATTGCCCCACACACACACACCCAAGCTTGGTCAGTTTGTGCCCATTCCAGTGAAAATGAAACCAATAAACACAACCGTCGCCTTGTGAGGGCGTGAAGAACAATCTCATGGTTTGGTCGGTTTTGACTTTTGACAAACATTGATTTGAAGCCTTCAGAAATATCCCTCAACGAAAGAAACAAGTAACCACCAACCTGTAAGTTGAAGCAATTCCCATTTTGAGCCACATACCCCCCGTCTTTGGTGCAGGCATGCAAACGCATGCTCTTCCTTTCAGGTCCAGGCGCCTCGTTCAGCTTCATGGCAGCCTTCCGTTGACCCTCATCCACAGAAAGCTCCTCCGGAAGTCTGTCGAAAGTACGTCGCGTAGAGGCTGCTGGCAGGGTGTTCCTCTGCAGGGGATCCTTACTGTGCTTTTCAATGCCCGATCCGAGATGAGCAATGTTCCTGAAAATAGACATGTAACACCCCGTGATGGTCTAGCATTGTAGAGAAGCCCAGCCAACCCAGAACAAAGCTTCACTGCCAAGAACTCACTAACCCATGACCTACTGAAAGGTATTCTCTATTAAACTTTGAGACTCCGTGTACTATGCGCAGGGGTGAAAACCCTGTGACTGCACCACTGCAGCTCATCGTGCTGGGTGTCCTTGTGCTTGGTCAGCAATACGAGCGCCTCCAAGGGTCCCGCCTGGCAGGGAAAAGCCCATTCGCACAAGCAACCCCCCAGTCCTCCCAAACAGCACCCACACCTGCTCCTAGTACGGATGCTTTTTGTTACTAGTAGCTTCTAGTTAGTAGCGATGGCCTCCAACCTACTTGCGATGCACCTGGTTTGAAGGGTAGAAGACCCCAGTCGTTGTGCAAACCTGGTCGAGTCATGACCCCTGTTCTAGGCACATCGATGCAAAAATCCTTCAAGGCCCGACATGCAAACATCATCAGACATCACTCAGGGATGAAAAGAGCGGCAAGTTGGCCAAAATCTGGACTGTCAAAGAGCCAAATCAATCCGGTGATGATTCCCGACCAAGTCATCTGAGTTGCTTTGAAGCAGGGCCTGCGCAGCTGTGGAGACATCATGTAGACGTCCAGGTGCCAAGCCCAACCGCAGCAAGCCAGGCCTAGACATCTGCAGGAACCTCTCCTGTGCCATTCTCTCCTACACCCCCACGACAAACTGTGCGACAAACTGTAGAAGGATGGACATTCCCTCTTCACCTGAGGTGGGACATCCACAATCCAGGACTGGGGTAGCATCGTGAATTTTAAGTAAAGCAGGCATGCAGCATTCTCCTCCAGATTTCGGATGTGTTTCCAAGTGAGCCATTCGCTTGTGAGCAGCACCCACAGCTGACGAAAGTGGGCCCTGTGAAGCGCACACCAAACTTGGAGACATGCACTAGCAAGTGTCTTGGAAACTTCCGCATCTTGCAGCTCCCTTGGCTCCAGAGCTCCTAACCAGCTAGTACATACGAGTAGTTTCTTTTGCTCCCCTGGTGTTGAGCCACATGTGGCTCGAAACGAGCCCTGAGGTCCGGTCGGCAGAGTGGACGAAACGGCCTAAGAGGAGGAACCAAAGGTCCAGGCACGGCATCTGAACATGAACTTCTACAGTATGTGCTGTGCCCTGAGATATATGAGACACATCTTTCTTCATCCTGTCCAGCTCAAAACCTTCATTCAAACCCTTCTAGGCTTTATTTCTCCGCTGTCTGAAGTAGTGCCCCAACCCCAGGAAGACCTCTGTTTTTCAAACCAAAACGGGTGACAAAAGAAACAGCTTCCCACTAAACCCATATATACACGTCAAAATGAGCTGGCCAGGCGCCCAGGTCGTCCGCCACAACATCGTTCGCCCACCGACCCCCTGTGGCACCCAGCTCGTGCGGCCGTGGGCAGAGCCATGGGGTCGAAAAAAAAGGCTGTCACTGCTTGACAAAGCTTTGTCAATAAATGATGATAGGAAAGAAAGAATATGCATGATCCAATACGTTCCATTATATATAGCACGAAAGCGAAAATATTGGTGAATGAATTGCCAGACCAGCTACCAGCACCAGCGCTTGTTGCGAACCGGTCATGCTAAACTGACATGGCAGCTACCATGACACTCTTCATAGACATGTTTTGAATGTGTGAAAGGTTAGTAAACCTAGCACTGACATCTACCTGAGACTATCTCAGGCTCATGGATAGCTATCAGTCATCTTTCCGCATGTTTGTTCCTGTCCAAGCTACGTGTCATAGAATCGAAAGCCTCAATGGCTGTGCCAAGGCGCAAAGAAAAAATAGAAACATCAGCATCCCCCAAGGCACAGTGTGCTCAGTATGTCCCAGTGCTGAAACATCGGCCTTGCTATTGGTAGGCGGAAATGACGGTATTTCTGCTAAGTTGATCATCCAAACTTTGAGGAACTGCACTTCCAGTCACTAATTAGAAGGCAGGTCAATGACCATGAGATCCAATAAGGTACAGCATTCCAACGCCTCCCATGAGGTAAAAGCAGTGGTTCCACACCACCACTGCGTGTCCCGTTCGAGGAGTGTACACCTCACGAGGCAGGCCACAACGCTCTGTCACAATCCTCGTTACAAAATGTGTCGAGTGAGTCGAATGACAACCCTCTGCTAACAAGTCGTAGACACTTTTTGGCTGAATTGGGAGCCATCAGGATGGCCCATTCTTCTCACCAGACTGACTCATGGGTAGGGTATTTCCTGGCCGCAGATCGCGGGGGCCGCCTGTCCCTGCTGGTCCTCAATGCGGGTCCAACCTGACAAACTGGCAGTGTCCTGTCATCGGTGTCCCCTATCTTCATAGAAGACTCAAATGAACAATTGTAAACTGTGAAGGGAGTAATGGGTAGCTGAAAAGCATCTTCTCTCAAAAAGTAGTTTGTGGCTTGGAAATCTCAGGGCCCGGCACCACAAATCCTCTGGCATCAGAGTTTGAGCTGCATCCTGCGCGTCTCCCACCGCACCAGTGCTGCTGGGCATGCCGCCTGGCCCGCCAGATGGGTCGCCCCTTCATGGCAGATCTCATTGGACAGAATTCTCCAAAAAATTAAAAAGCGTGGAAACGTGGAGAAGTGTGTGTCAGTGGATGTCAACTAAACCTAAACATGATGAACGAAGACAGGATTCTCTCTTTACTTTCAAATGGGAAGTTGGGCCTTCTTCAGCGCCAACATGCCTGTGCTAGAAAAAACTTCCGCTTCGGAACAGTGCTCCGATGGGCCCTCCCCATCAAGTCTTCTAAATGTTTCAACTGGTCAAGCATCCCAAGACTCGAAAGTCAAACATCCTCAGTTGTGCTCTGGCACAACCTAAGAGCGATGGCCTCCAACCTAAAAACGCAGTGTGCCTCCAACCTAAGAGCGCTACACCTCGGACGGAGGGCGCCTCCAGTGGGCACCGGAGGGCTCGACACCTGGCGGAAGGAGCCACAGAGCGTGGCGAGCTGACTGGACGACAGGCGGGAGCTGCCCAAATGGATGCTTTCTGGATGGCCCATAGGTCTCTAAAGGGAATCAACTTGTTCTTCCCAATAGATATATCTTTGGACACTAGACACTACCAGTAGCTTGAGAAAAAGAATCAAATTGGTAGCAGATCTAACATTCAGCCCAGCCTGATCTGCTAGCTGCTTTTGACAGCGTTGCAACTCTGACTTGGTCCGCAGCAGAATGCGATACCTCAATCACAGGGCAACAGTGCAGTGCTGCAGGACAGGCCTAGAACCTAGCAACACAGATGCGGTTCTAAGGATTCCAGCAGGGGGTTGAAACAGCAACTCGTGCAAGAAACTTGTAATTAGTGGTTTATAGTCATACTCCAAGAGCAGTTCAAGAATGACTGAAGAGGTTTGGGTGACTATCACTACTTAACTACTTCACTTAACTTAACTTAACTACTTTCACTACTCTTTTGGGTTCAATCTTTGGGTGACTATCCTCCAATCTGAAGGTTTACTGCCCTTTTCAGGTCGATCTGAGTTCCAAGCATGTCGTTCAGGCGTCGTCCATCGAAGCCGCCCAGGATGTACATGAAGCCCTGGCGTCTCGAATCGCGGCGTCTCGAATCACAGGAATTCCGACGCTACGTCGCGTGGGATTCGCATGGGAAGCGTTTCTTTGGGACGTGTGATGAAGACGAAAACGAGGAATGGCTCAACCTCCACTCACCTGGGGAAAAAAGGGAGGTTGACCTACACCATGTTTGGGCAGACCCACTCTTTGCAGCATGCGAAACGTTTTTTTTACTTGACATGGTCTCCTGGTCTACAGTCTACCCACGTCTATTCGTCCACGCTTGGTCTCATGTCCGCAGCTTGGTCGGTCTTCGATGGCCGCAAAAACCGTCCTTCCGACCGCCCGTTTCGTTTGCTCCTCACCTCATGGACAACGGTTTTGTGGAACGTCCGGGCAGATGGCTGCACAGACAACGTGGACACCTGATCTCAGAGGTCTGGCAGAAGTTCGGGCACAGGCGCCAGTCACCTGTGAAATCAGTCATGTCGCCCAGTCTGACAGCCCAACATGACCCCAGTCACGGATCCGGAAGGTTTGAACGGTTTGGAGATGTGCTGTGTGCAGCGATGTGCTGTGTGTGACAGAGTTCGAAAGGTCGGACACCGACACCGTCCGCCTTGGACCAATGTCGATGGGAGAAGCTGTACCTGGGCGAAGGGGCCCCGGTTTCGCTGCGCTGCCAGGCAGCGAAGTTGAAGGGTGACACAGTGACACAGGGCGTTTTCGTGCCCATGGAGAATCATAGATACACTATGATACACTTAGAGTCACTTCATGCATCCTCATGCCTCATACACTTCGCCTGATGAAGCATCATCACTGCCACAGAGATCTCTACCAACTGCACCCACTTCTCAAAGACTTCACCCCCATTCGCTCTTGGGAGCGTCTTTCTACATGGCCCGGCACGGTCGTGCGGCGCTCCGAGTCCTCCGAGCTCCGATGCGGCTCGCGCACTCGTGCAGGTCTGGAAAGCGGTACTGCGTCTTGTCCACGCCCCCGAAGGTGAACATCTGAGCTCCGACCGCACCGGTTCCACGGAGGCCCTTTTTGTTCGACGCAGCGGCGTTTGTTCGGCGCGCAGATTGGCAACGTGAAAAATGACACACCGTTTTGGAGCTCGCACACATGATACTCCAAACACCTTGAGGCAAACACTGCGTCACCACAAACCACTGCAGTGTGCCGATAACGTGCCTCAGCAAAAGGCGGAGGCGGGCGACAATGGGACACGAAGGAGTCTTGTGGGGGTGACTCGGCCCAGATCTTGGCATTGTTCTCGAGGTTCCTATCCCAACCCAGAAGATACGCGCATGATTGATATGTGGTCGTCAAAAAGGAAGAAGTAGAAGGTCCAGATCAGTTCAAATGACTACTATCCCGGATGAACTGTCAATGTACCGTTTGTTTTTTGTGGTATTATATGGTATTAGATATATAATCATTCTTGTCAAACAACAGGGCATGCTTGATTCAAGCGTTTGAAGCCAACACAGTCGATTTCGTGATCCAGTAAACAACCAGGATTCCAGGATTCCATGCTTCAACTATAAATACGTTCATTGATTACAGTGCTGTAAAGCGCGTGATCATCACGTGCTACATCTCAAGGACTCGATAGACCATGCGAAGCCTGCTTCAGCTTGCATCAACTAGACTAGCACTCTTCTTGGACACATCATCTGGCTGTCAGTAGCCAAATCCCCAACATACCTGGAACTCGTGGTTGTTCTCTCCGTTGTCTTGGCCCTGTGAACTGCACGTACCAGGTACCCTTGCTTTCATCTCACCCAGCAACGCTGTGACATTCAAATCGTCGATATGCGTCCATGAGTTCATTCGTATGCAGGGGCCCCGCCCCCCGTGCGTCAAACGGTGCGTTCGGCCAGGCCATCGAATGCAACAAAAAACACAGTGCGACCCTTCAAAACCTGCTTTTCGTGCAACCAAAAGAACGAGGCCCAGCTTGGCCTCTCCTCTCTTCGCTTGGGAGACCCGGCTCTTGGAGCTGTTCCCCGCATTGGCAACCTCAGCACATGAGATCTCGCCATTGCTTGTCCCACAGAGAGGAAATCGTTCGCAGTCGGGTACTTCTGGATCTGGAAAACGCACCACAGAACGTGGTGCCTGCCTTTATCTTGCCTAGAATCTTTGAATTTTCAGAAGAGCCAATGGTAGCTAACTGAGACCAGATCTATTAAAATTGTGATGCCCATCAAAACAGTGGTGGACATTTGGGTGACAGCACAAAAGCACAAAGATCCAGATCGTGCAAACTGATTGGAAGCTGCGACTGTACTATGCTTGAATGAAGAGATCAGTCGCAGCTTAACATTGAGAACTGTCCCTGTTCTTTTCTATGGCGTGGTATGCAAACGATGCTGTTCAACGTCGCTGCCATGTGTGTGTGTGTGTGTGTATTTATTGTGGGCTTAGGACGGCACTGGATCCACATGTTTGATGAGATGTTGTACTCAAAGAGCTCCTGGTCAAGAGCTTGTTCAATGGCCCGTCCACCGAAACAGATATGATAAACTCTTCAAACGAACAGCTCGAAGCACAAGATCACGAGATCTATATACATATTCCCGGAGATTCTACCTTGCAGCAGTTACTCGCGAAGAATTGACCAGGGCAGTAGGTCGAACCCTACCTAGTGAACATCCCCAATGAACAAACAACGCAAACTTCGAGCTTCCAAGGATCCCGTCTGGTTTGAGGGTTCCTGCTTTTAACATCAGCATCTGGCCTCGCCTGCAATGTGTCATGACCGTCCCATCCACCAAAAATGTACATGGAGTGGCCATAGATCACTGCCTGGGAGCCGCAAGCCGCAAAGGTTGCCGGTCCAGCGTCAGGCGTTGGGAGGGATCAAAAGCTCCTGGCCTTTTGATTCTGGGGTCTGAAGCCTCTAGGCTCTTGACTAGGTCCCCTCACCTCGAATGGTGGATGCTGACGGTTAGTAAGGGGATGTTTAAACCACTGTTTTACTGCCTGCTGGTGGCAATGCGGCAACGTGAACTGATGACATCCATTGCTGAGGATTGACATGAGCATGTCGCTGTTAAACTGGGTCATGGAGTTGAGTGTCTCCCGGTGCCTAACTGTGAGTGTCGCTATCAGCAAACATCTTGTGTTGTGTTCCAAGGACCATCTGCCAATCCCCGTTCTGTACAACAATCAGGCCATAACATTGAGAACAAGACTACGTATACAGACGATCTAAAAAAACGCCTGACTCCTGACTTCTGACTCCGCCGTTGTTCAAAATGCAGCACGGTGTTTTGCCGTGAAAAGCGAACCCAGCCGCTGGGCTGGCCCGGGCGGTGTGTCCAAAGCGGTTCCGCGGGACCTGACTGCGAACCTGGTGGAAGCCGGGGAAGGTGGGGGGGCGGCGACGCACCTGCAGGGAGAAGAATGCAGGGTATATAGTCCAGTACTCGCTTTTAGGGGAAGGGGTCCCAAGACAAGAACACTGGTAATCTTTTAACTTGAAAGGACTTGGACCACGATTGGTCAATGATTATCATGTGATCATGTTGGAAAAGGCTATTGGACACTTGGTGGAGCAACGCACGTGCGTTGCACAATTGTGCCGCATGGCTTTGTTTGAAAAGAAGACCCTTAGCAAAAGAGAAAATGGATCCCAGCCCACAGTGCTCCTAAACCATCAGTCCCCTGAGTGGACGTCCATATTGGTCTGACGCCCAGTCGTCTGGGCTGCCACACACTCACCTGACTCCATCGCTTGTCCTTGAGGTGTAGCTCGCGAAGATCATTAAACCTGGCGAAGGAAGGGGATCATGCGATGGCGGGATCGCTCCGAGCGGTATTGTCCCACAGTTGCTCGTCCTCAGAATCGCTCCTGGCTGCCATTCCATCTTTCCTTTGGTTCCACTTCAGGGCGAGCGGTATGCTCGGAAACCATCGAAGGAACAGAACTGAAACCGACCAAGCACTGAGACCAAACCAAGCCACTCAAGCTAACCACCTTCCAAACGAGGATCTCTTCCTCCAAGCCCTGCTTGGCTCCCGGCCTGTTATGCCCATCGAAGCCTCCAAAGACCAGCAAGGAGTCGCGGAAAAGCACCACGCTATGGTCTGTTCGCTTGGAGGGCGCCTCGCCCAAGGTGTGCACCTCAGGGTGTCCGAAGCCGGAACTTCTCGTGGAAATCCACGCCAAGCGGGTTCTTGGAACCCCGGCCGAGCCCCACATGCTGGTCGCAATCTCGTACTTGTAGACATCATTGAAGTAGTCACCGTCCTGGCGACTACTTCTCCAAAGTCGACATCATAGAACCCAGACATGGCCCCAAACGTTGATAGGAAGTGTGACCCAATTTTTGGGTGGTCAGTCTTCATAAAAACATGGAGTCCTTCGCGCCAGAAACAGAATGTTTTTCATGCATGAAACAAACCGCTCGGAGCACTCCCCAAGTGGTTGGGTAGATACTGGGATTGACATCCGAAGGAGTCCGAAGGAGCTCGTGGAAGGCACCAGATCGCGGGCCATACATCTGCACCTTTTTGCGGCCGTGCCGTGCTCGGAAAGCACTGCTCGTGCAAGCAGAGGCCCACTCACACCTCAGTGATAAACAGGGAACAGTGATCTAGCCAAGATAGGTAGGGTCTTCTGAAAAAAAGAAATAAAGCAATAATAAATAAACAAAACAAAAAAGCTCTTCCCAGGGCTTTGATAGTACTCGTTGACCCTAAACACTCCATAACTTGCTTGGATTCAAAATTGCAAGCTTCTAAAATGAATTTGAGAAAGGGGTCACACAAACCTCACTGTCACACCCGCGTTCTGAACCAAGAGATGCATGTGTCGTTCCGGTCAGCCCTGCTGAGTGCCCCAGACTGGCAACTCCTTCAGGGAGTCCAGGCTGGCCATGCCACATCTGAATGGCCTCACGGTGGATCCCCAGAGACAAGCCCGGCAGTCTCTGTCACCAACGTGACATGCTGATCACCAGCCGTTGACCTTCCTTCAGAATGCCTCATAGAATAGAGCTCTGTTTTTTGTGTATCCATCCCTGGTGGCCACCCATGATCAAGGCCTTGAAAAAAAGGAATGCGCCTCTACAGCCATTTATGGCTTTCTTTCCTGTTTCTTGCATGTTCTTTTTTATCTGCATACAGCTCAAGTTGTGCTAACCACTGCCTCTATAAGGGGGCAGCACTGCCGGCGCCACAGTACGCCTTAGCTGACAGCATCGGGAGTGGAAGGTTAGGCACCTTACTACTAGTAGCAAGAAGCTTTACTAGGTTGGAGGCCATCGCTACTAGGGGTGGAGGCCATCGCTACTAGTAACAAGAAGCTACTAGTAGCAAACCAAACCAGTTTGGGTCGGCCCCGCCTAGTTCAATACGACGGTGAAGGGGAAGGGAGACACCATCCCCACTGGGTTGATGTAACCACAGATCTTGTCACTCAATATGGTCCGCATCCCAAAAATGAGGAGCCACATCCACCGAGTCTGCTCGGCAAAATTGGTGAGCAAAACGTCTTCATAATCTGCTGTACCCGGTGTCCGAGGTGCCAAACCCGATCCTCGGTGTGTGCTTTTTCCTGAAACAGAGGGGAAAGTTCGGGAGAACGCACCATTCGGGAGACGTGACGAACAGGAAGATCCAATGTGGTACCATGATCATCCATCTACAGAATTGAGAATGCTTAAGGCTTAAGTGATGTTCTTGAAAATCTGTAGATTGGAACCGCTCCTGCTCCTTGCACCATATCGACCGTCAATGATCCTTCACGTGATCGCTGCTCGTGTTCACTCGCTGCTCGTGCGATCCGAACGCGCGGTGCATGGTGCGCCCGGCGTGGTCATCCGATGGGTTGTGGAGTACAACCTGTGCGGTGCCTCTCAAACTCACAGGTAGGTCCGGTAGGTTGTTTGCCACCCATGCTGAATCTGCTTTCTCTGGATCCAACCCGCCAACGTCACATTGTTGCAGGAAGGTAGGAGACTTGCAAGCGTGGAACCCTCTGACATTCGGTGATTTCGCTCTGTCGAAGTCCATGAAGAACCCGCCCTGTCCATCCCTGGAGCTCTGGTCACCGATGTCATCGATGTCACCGGTGTTCCTCGATCAGCCCGGGGGGTCCGGGCGTTGTAAAAGAGAGAAACAGTCGTGTTGCTGCAACCTCAGCAAGACTGAACAGTCGTGTTGTCTTGTGATGTGTTAAAATAAAGGAAAGCAAGTCTGATGACCAGTGCTTCTCATTTTGCAAGTCTGATGACATCTGCTCATTTTGCTTTTTCTCGAAGCTGTACTTCCACAACGGGTGAGTGTCCAGGACATTTCTCTCCACTCCAGCAGTTTTCCCCAGAGATGCTTGGAAACTGTGACCATCTCGCTTGTGACGACTCATCCATCAACCAACAGGGCAGTCAGTCGTCCATCTTTCCAAGGCTCCCCTGCAAAGCAAACGCTGCCAACTGCTCTTCAAACCTGCTCTTCACACGACAAGTGTGGGCTGTGTGAGCTGGTGACAGCTCTGCCAAACTCTGCCAGGCTCTGCCAGGCTCCAAGAGCTCTGTCTGCATCTGTGCATGAAAAATGAACTGATTCCTCAAGAAAGGGATGTCAACCTTCCATGTTCTTTGTTTTCGGTACTGCTTTAGGCCCAGCTCAAGCTCACTCAGCTCAGTCAGCTCTCCGGCCTCGAAGCTCTCAGCACCTCCCCTTCGGTCCCATCGGTGCCTTGGGCCATGGCGAACGAACCGGTGGCATCGACCGACCCGAACCGAACGAACCGCGGCGCCATCGGTGCCATCGGGCCATGCCCTGGTGATCTTGCATCTGCGGAAGCCCCAATGGTCGACCCATCATTCCCATCATGTGGAGCCATGGCTAAGCTCAACGGGACCTGTGGTGGCTACGGCTGAGATCCTGGCTCAAAGAGCCTCTGGCATGCCAGAGACCTCATGGCCACACGAGGTGAGTGGTTAGTGATGCACCAAATCTAAAACCTGCTAAGTCCAGAAATCTTCATTGGCCAAGGAATCTGGGGCTGGCTCTCTCTCTCTCTCTCTACTCTATTATTGAAACAGACCACACCGAATACTCCAGCAATGCGAGTGGTGATTTAGATTATGAACGAAGACAGTTAATGATCAATGACTTCCGAGTTGGACAAATGGCCAATTCTCCAGCTCATGTCTAATCTTGGGAGCTGTTCTTTTGAGAGAAGCTGGAGTGACAACTCCAAAAAGCTCTTGCGCTTCATGCCTGCTGCAAGTAAATTCAGGAGAATTCGGGTCCAAGGTCCATGACTCCTTTCCTGAGCGCAGCCCAGCACCCCAAGCACATCTGCACATCTGCACTTCGGGTGGAACTAAGAAAATAGAACAACATCTCATCGATTCTGAATCGCACCTTTCCCGCTTACACGGCCTATACTTACTTCATGTCGGAAGCTTTTCATGAAGCAATCTCCCGCTCCACCGGATGTGAGGATAATGCTGGAATGAGCTAAGCTGCGATGAACTGAGGTGATGATGACAAGTAAAACTCATTCTTTGAAAGAGGGAAAAGGAGACGAAGCACCCGTGAGATATGATCTAGCCGGCCTTAGAAGCAGAAGGAAAAGGAAAGGAGCCTTAAAAGCGGCAGACCCTGTTGTGCTGCCCTTACCATTAGCTTTTGTAACCCTGGAGGGACCCCAGCGAACCGCTAGGTGAGCTGGACTGACACGCACCCGGAAAGACAAAATCATCCTTGAGGGGACTATGTCCTACTTCCACAGAATGAGTCCAGAGGCATCCAAAGGCCATGCCGTTCCTGGTGCATAGCTCCGTCTCCCACCCTACAGACAGGGTGCGGAGGCTACGAGGACGGCGATGTGGGCCACCAAGTCCGGGGCTAGACCATGGCCTCACAACGAGCGAAGGCCAGTCATCAACCTTTCGGCATCCCTCCCAGGGTCATTAGGTTGGAGGCCATCGCTCTTAGGTTGGAGGCCACCCCTATTGGGTTGGAGGCGCCATTGCTATGAGGTTGGAGGCGCCATTGCTATCAGGTTGGAGGCTATCCCTCCCAGTCATCACCCTTTCACACACCCTGGTGTAGTGATTCCAGTGTGCACTTTGGATGGCGGACGGACAGTAGTTTGGTGGGTTTAACGACCCCAAGCGTCCGAGCATGTGCTGGCTGTTGTGCGTCACCGCCTTCCAAGGTGTGATCGCTTCGAGCTTCGATCGAAGGCTTTTGCCGCACACCACGCGGCTTTGGAAGCCGCAACGGGCCGGGCGTGGGGCGTGTATGGAAACACATGCATACAGATCCCAGATCCCAACAGATTCCAACAGAAACACCTCTTTTTGCACCAGAAAAAAACAGGTGTTTCAGCTCTTCTCTTCCCGGTTTTCTCTGCCCCAGCGGACGCTGGGTCATAATTCATTAGAACATTTAAATCATCAAATAAATCAATTTCAAAATCTACACTTTACATAATATAGTATTATGTTCAAATAATATTTAAAAAATGACAGCAACTTTACAAAATGTAAATCCATATCCAAAATATGGACTTCGCAGAAGACCCACCTATAGTGAAATAATAGGTCTCATTGATGAAAATGAAAAAATAACAGGTGCATTACCAAATAGGGATGTGTCATTCTTTAAGAACAGTCCAGAGGGTAGTTTCTTTGATGGTAGTTTCTTTGGTGGTAGTGATGCTATGGAATTATTGAAGGAGGAACAGGGTAGATTGTTATTGAGGGGAATGTCAGAAATCTGACCAAGACAAAACAGTAGGACAGCAGGAAGAACCTACCATTCAGACAGGATACTAATGCCCACAACATCACCCACCATAACTGAAACAAGCCAACCAATGGATGTAGAAGAGCAACCACTACCATATCATACTCCAACACCGTCACCAGCAACACACCAAGCATCACATTTAAACGCAGAACTAGAACAAAGAAGGAACACAGCAACAAAGAGAAGTCAAGATGTATGTATGAACCATCGGGGATAAATGGTTAAGCAACACAAACCAACAATCACTGAACAAATACATCACATCAACCCACCAAGAAGTCTTGCACCCATCCGACCTGAAAATGACCATATGTCCAAATGCGACCACTTAATGACGTGGCTAGTTCTGGCACTCAACCACCGGTGATGTTTCTAAGAGGTGTTCCGAACTTCACTGAAGGGAAGATATACAAGAGGCAAGACCCAGAGAGTGCCATTGAACCAAGCAGCAAAGCAGGAAGACCCAAAATTAGATACACT